AAAAAACAGCCTCCAAACCAGATTGATGTATCCTGCAAAACTATCTTTCAAAAAAGAAAAACAAAAAACAAAGAAGAAGTAGAAATAGCAAATAAACATATGAAAAACATTAAACATCACTGGTCACTGGAGAGATGCAAATGAAAACAACACTGAGATTCTACTTCACTCCAGAAAGAATGGCTGCTATCATGAAATCAACCAATAACAAATGCTGGCGGGGCTGTGGGGAAAGAGGAACCCTGCTCCACTGCTGGTGGGAGTGTAGACTGGTGCAACCACTGTGGAAATCAGTATGGAGATGCCTCATAGAACTAGAACTAGGACTGGAAGTCCCATTTGACCCAGTTATTCCTCTGCTGGGGATCTTCCCCAAAGAATTAAAAGAATTGGGCTGGGGATTTAGCTCAGTGGTTCCGGCACCTGCCTTGCAAGTGCAATGTCCTGAGTTCAATCCCTGGTATCAAAAAAAAAAAAAAAATTAAGAATCATACCACAGTGATAGATGTGCACCCATGTTCATAGCAGCAGTTTGCAGTTTGTAATAGGTAAAACTTGGAAACAGCCCAAATGCCCATCAACTGGAGACTGGATAAAGAAAATGTGTTTTTTAAAAATAAAATGGAGTACTACTCAGCCATAAAAATGAAAAATTAGAGACATTTATAGCTAATTGGATGCAAATTAAGAAGATACTCTTAAGTGAAATAAATTGGACACACGTGTAAATACCGAATAGTTTCTCTAGTGTGAGAAACTGAAGGTGTAAATAAGGACTAAATGGTGTAATAGATAATGTGAAATAGGAAGAAAAAGGGCAAAGGGGAAGGGGAAGTGGGAGGGCTAGGGGAAAGGAAAGAAGGGAATGGGATTAATGAGAAAATGAAAAAATGGAAACAAAGTCTTTGAATATAGGGAGGGGTGGAGGGGGTGAAGGGAGGGCAGGGAAGGGAGAAAAATAAGAACCAGGAGAGATTATGTAAAGGTGCAAATTTCCAATGATGAATGTCACTATATTGTATACCTAAAATGTACCAATAAAATATGAAAATGTGAAAAAAAAAAGAGAAAGACTGAGGAGGACATTGGAAAATGGAAAAATACCCTGTTTTGGATAGGCAGACTAGTATTGTCAACATGGCCATATTCCCAAAAATGATATATAGATTTAATGCAACTGTCGTTAAAATATTATCAGCTTTTTTCACAGAACTAGATAAAGTAATCCCAAAATTTATATGAACAGAATAGACTCAGACTAGCCAATGCAATCTTGGACAAGAGCAAAGTCAGGGGCACTATAATTCCCACTTCAATTTATCCCACAAAGCCACAGTAGTAAAACAGCATGGTACTGGCACAAATACCAGGCATGACTAATGGAATAGAGGATACAGAAAGATATCAAGCACCTTCAGATTTGTGATGAAGGGGCCACTGGACCAAAGATAGCCTCTTTAACAAATCGTACTGCAAAAACTGGCTATCCACCCTGCAGAACAATGAACCTTGATTCATATCTCTCATCCTGTACTAAAATCAAATTAAAATGGATCAAAGAACTAGATATAAAAACAGAAACAATGAATCTGCTGGAAAAAAACTGATTTCTTGAGGAACAGGCACAGGCAAAGACTACATGAAGAAAACCCCAATTGCACAGAAAATAATACTGAGAATCAAGAAATGCTATTATATCAAATGAAAAAGGTTCTGCACAGTAAAGGAAGCAACCAACAGAATAAAGAGATAACCCAGAGAATGAATCCAATTAAAAGACAGATGACTGAAATGAATATGCTTCTCAGAAGTACAAAGGGCCAATAAATACATGAAAAAATGCTCACCATATTTGGCCATTAGAGAAATGCAAATTAAAACAAACAACACTGAGATACCATCTTACTCCACAAAGAATGACAATCATCAAGGACTCAGATCAACAGCAAATGCTGGTAAGAGTATGGGGATAAAGGAACCTTCTATATTGCTGGTAGGAATGTGAACTAGTACAACCACTTTAAAAATCAGGAGATTCCTCAAAATATTAAAAATAGAAATTTCATTTGACCCAGCTATACCTCTCCTGGGTATCTTCCAGAAAGAGCTAAAGACCTATCAACCTACAAAGCTAACTCATGGAAGCTAAATCATGGAAGTGTTAATACCATTAATGATGACTGGATAAAAGAAAGTGTGGTATTTATCCACAATGGAATACTACTCAGCCACAAAGAAGGGTAAATTTGAGTCATTTGTAAGAAAAATGGATGGATCTTCAGATCATAATACTAAATGAAATAAGTCAGTCACAAAAGGTTAATTAAATATCTCATGGTTTCCCTGAGTGACCATAAATATAAATAATTTAAAGAGCAAAATAAGTGTCATGTTGAGACATGACACGTGTCATGTTAAGGGAAGTAGGCACTGTAGCAATGGAAAGGTGACCCGGGGAAGCTGGGAGAAGGAGGAGTAAAAATAACCAAGACACAATACGTGTATTTACCCAACCCCCAAGTTAAATGGAATCACTATGTACTGCAAACAATTAAAAAAAAAAATGCTCAGGGACAGATGAATTCTCTGATGAATTCTTCCAAACATTCAAAAAGGAAATAATACTAAAGCTTTCAAACTCAGAAAATAAAAGAGGGAAACTTCACAACTTGTTCTACATGGCCATTAGCATTCTGATATCAATGAGAGGTAACAGCTTGGATGCAGCTCAAAGGAAGAGCATGCACAGGCCCTGGGTTTGATCCTAGCAACACACTCACACATACATGACACAAACACACACAAAACATCATGAGAAAAGAAAGCTATATAGACCATTTTCTCTCATAAATATAGATGAGAAAAATCCGCAACAATGTATTAGCATTAAGTCCAGCAAAGCTAGGTGTAATGGAATGCAATATAATCCCAGCCCTTGGGTGTCCAAGGCAGGAATATTATTTGAGCCTAAAAGGCTGAGACTAGGCTGAGTACTCACTAAAAAAAAAAAAAAAAAAAAATCCGGGGGCCGGGGATTAGAGCTCAGTGATGCCACTGCCTGCCTCACAAGTGCAAGGTCCTGAGTTTGATCCCTGGTAACAAAAAAAAAAAAAAAAAAAAAAATTCCAGCACCCTATAAAAAGCATTATATACCGTGACTAAGTAGAATTTATTCCAGAAACCTAAGGTTGGTTTAATATCAGAAAAGCAACACACATAGTATAGTATACAGTAAAACAAAGGATAAAACCTGCAGAAGAAACATTGACACAAATGCTTTCCTCGGTACATACACATGTACTAATGAAAAAAAAAAAGAAGGGAAAAAATGATGAATACAGAGCTTTTTGTTGGGTGTGGTGGTGCACACATGTAATCGCAGACTTGGGAGGCTGAGGCAGGACTGCTGTGAGTTCATGGCCAGCCTGGGCTACACAGAGATAACTTGTGTCAAAAAAAAGAGCTTTTGCCAATGGGAAGGAGACAAAGCGCTGAAGGACAGGGAAGGATGAAAGAAAGAGAAAAACATAACTAACATGTGTTATGTACATGTAAGAATTCCCCATGATAAACGTAATCATTACATACTGCAAATGTATACTGACAAAAACATAAATTAAAAATGCTTTTCTCCTAAAATAGGGAACAATGTAAAGATGTCCAATCTTACCACTTCTATTCACTGCCTTTTCCTGCAGATTATATGATTCTATATGCAAAAAATCTTAGTAAATCCACAAAAACAACACTAGAACTAGTAAATTAATTCAGCAAGGCTTCAGGATACAAGGACACAATACAAAATCAACTGTATTAACAGCAATGAGCAGTCCGCTCAGGATAATAGCATTCACACTTAAGAATAAATGTGACCAAAGAAACACAAGTATTCTAAAAACTACACATAATTGCTGAAAGAAATTAAATCATGAGATGCTCTATATTACAGATTAAAAGATCCAGTATTAGTAATTCTCCCAAAACTGACCTACAGATTCAGTACAATTTCTATCAAACTTTCTGTAGGCTTCACTGTAATTTCACAACCCAACCCGAAAGTTTTATGTAAAGGGAGAAAATCCAGAATAGTCAAAACAATCTTGAGAAGAACAAGGTTGGAGGATTTACACTTCCTAATTTTACGACTTGCTGAAAAGGCATAGTAATCAAGACAATGCAGTATTAATGTAAGGAGAGAGAAACTGATTAATGGGATAGAGTGGAGAGTACAGAAATACACATCTGAAATTTCAACAAAAGATGTCAAAAAGATTTAATAAGATTCAACAGCAAATGGATAACCATATGCATAAGAAATACTTCATACTCAGTGGAAGGGTGAGCAAAAAAAAAAAAAGAAAGAAAATAGGAAATACTGTCAAAAATATGGAGAAGTCAGAATCCTCACATATTGCTTGTGGGAATGTGAAATGGTACAGATGCCTGAAGAGACTCTCAAGAGAAATGAAAACAGATATCTATACTAGCAACCATATTTAAATGTTTATAGCAGTATTATCCACAATAGTTAGACATAACCCAACAGCCATCAACTAATAAAGAGATTAAAAAATGTGGTTTGAGAATACTATTCAGCAATAAAAAGGGACTATACATGGTACTCATGGGAAAACTTCAAAAATACTGCAAGTGTAAAAGGCCACATAAAAAAACCACAGATAGGATTGATTTCACTTAGAAGGTCCAGAAAGGGCAAATTGATGGCATGATGAGGTCATCGGTGTACCTGGGCTTGCAGGTGGGGGCTTTCCTGGTGAGAGGCACACTCTAAAACTAGATTGTAATGCTGGGTGTACAACTCACATATTTAGTAAAAGTTATCAAAATGTACATGTAAAAGACATGTATTTTACAGCATGCAAATTAACTTTTTAAAGAAAAAATAAAATATTTTAGAATATTAGAAAATTCCAAAAATTCTAAAATTCTATTTTAGAAAAACAGAATATATTACAGTGAGAAAAAAGAAAGTTTCCAACCTTTCCACTCAGAGTCCAATCATCAGAAAATTCTCCCTCATAGATAGTATCATCTTCAGAAAGTAAAACTCCATTTCCCTGTGTGCAGAAACAAAACAGAATCACAACACACAGAATGCACAGTGCCTTGGACAGCATGCACACAGGACCCCAAAGCCTCGCATCATCTTAGGCGACAGGGAAGATAGTACTGCGAAGGTAGAACATTAATGAGATGATTTAAAAAGCTGGAGATATAGGACTTGTAAAACCTCAACATAACTACATGCAAATACTCCACTCACCATCATTTTATTAAGGTGGAAGTTGCCTTCATAGTATAGTCCAAACTGGGTAACAACCACACCATTCCCATGACATACATCATCTTGCCACATGCCCATATACTTTTCTCCTCTGTGCAAAAACGAGAGAAAAAGAAAAATGAAAAAAAAAAAAAGAAAAAAACCCCCAAAACAATGATAGCAACAATACGGGGTGGGGGTGGTGGTGGTGGTGATTAATGGTAGATCTCAAACATCACACTAGTTTGGTATTGGTTCTGTTTTTCTAGTTAGAGTGATTAAATGTCTCCTTAAACATGGAACAATGTGACAGCAAAAAGACATCTTATAGTCATGTTTTCTCAGCAACTTAATATTGTGTTCTACCTGGCACTGGAAGGCTAAGGGAGGAGGACTACAAATTGAAGCCCAGCCCAATTAAGTGTGCAAATTAGTGAGACCTTGTCTCAAAAATAATGAAAAGGAAAAAAAAAAAGCCAAAAATTCAAAATGTGACAGAATCATACCTACATACAAGTTTTTCTTACTCAAAATTTTGCTTAATAAATTAATTAATGGGGTTTGTCATAAAAGGTTCAACTGTCACCTACTCAAACTCAGAAAAATCTTAGTAATTAAAAAGATAAAATAAGCAGAGAATGCCTGTTTAAAAATTATGCAGTTTAGGGGTGGGGATATAGCTCATTGGTTCTGCCACCTGCCTCGCAAGTGCAAGGACCCAAGTTCAATCCCCAGTACCGAAAAAAAGAAAAAAAAAATCATGCAGTTTAGTAATAACAGTAGTTTAAAAATAGCCAACATTTTGGATGCTGTAGTGCTTAGTAACATGGGTGGGAAGGGGAGAGTACAGTCTAAAGCACATTAGGTCCAGTCAAACATGGAGGCAAAAGAACTGCACTCCTCAACAGTCTTGGTAACCAGTCTCTGACCTAATGGGAAGACCTAGGCAGAACGGTATCTAGACACCACCCTACGTATAATTCCAGCGGGAATATTCACTGTTTTCTCTACCCCTTACCTTTCATTTCCACTTTCTATTGACTGCATTGAAGATTTTTCTTTGTATGACAAGAACTTGGTAGGTTCTCTGAGACAGTAAAGCCTCTGTAGGTATAAAGCTTTAGGAAAAACAGTGCTGATGTGGATTGTGGGTTATTCTGTTTTTGTAATGAATAATTTACTGTTTAGTCCACAAGAAAAAGGGGGAAAAGATGCCCCCAAAACTGTTTTCTTATGAAAAGTTTTCCCTTTTTTTCTTTTTCTTGGTTTGTGGTACTGGGGATTGTATTTTAGTTTTTGGACAGCATCTTCCTATATAGTTCAGGCTTACCTTGAACTTGCTATGTCGCCCGAGCTGGCCTCGAACTCTCGGCAATCCTCCTGCCTCAGCCTCCCAAGTGCTGGGATTACAGGTGTGTGCCACCACGCCTGGCACAGTACTGGGGATTGAACCCAGGGCCTTCTGAATGCTGGTAGGCACTTTGCCACTGAGCTACATCCCCAGACCTTTTTGAAACATTCTCCCTAAGTTGCCCAGCCTTGAATACTCAATTCTCCACCTTCAGCCTTCTGAGTTGCTCACATGGCCCCCGAGGCCCACTTGAAGTTTTTTGTTGTCGTTGGTACCGGGGATCAAACTCCGGTCCTTGCGCTTGCACAGCAGGCAGCGAAACCGCTGAGCTAAATCCCTGGACCCCGCTTGAAGTTTTTTGTTGAAAGCGTCACTGCTTTTGGAGAGGCATGGGAGCTTTCTCCTCACACTACGTACTGACACCGGAAGCAGAACACTGTACCTAGTGATGTCATCAAAGACGCCGTACCCCACTTTCTTATCCATGGCCCACTGGCCAATGAACATGCTGGGCGAGGAGGAAGTCAGCTTTCCACTTCGGAGGAGGCCATGGCCATGGCGCATGTTGTCTTGGAAACAGCCTTCAAACACTTCACCAGAGGCATAGCTGTGGTTGGAGATAACAGATAAAAATCAAATGCTCACAGAGTTCTAACACTTGTCTTTACAAAGTCTAGAATATCAAAAACTACACTCAGTCTCTCTAGTAGCTATAATTATTATGTGATTATTTTACACCAACGAAAGTTTTTCTTCTAAAAAAAAAAAAATTTTTCCTGTTTGAATAAATGAACCTAAGAAGTTAAAGACATCAGGGCCGGGGATGGAGCTCAGTGGTTCCGCCACCTGCCTCGCAAGCGCAAGGACCTGAGTTCGATCCCTGGTACCAAAAAAAAAGAGAAGTTAAAGACATCATACGTGGTATTCCGTACTGACAGGGGAAAAATTATGTTTAGTGTCTAATAAATGAAATAATGAGTTATCAAGGAGAGGGAAAAATGTTTTGTCCATATTAAAGTAATAAAATTAAAGTCACTGACAAGACACGGGGAAAGTAATGATTTACATGACATTCAATTTAGATGAGAACCAAATTTAGTAACTTAGCATTTTCATCTTGTAGATGAGGGGTTGTTCTTTGAAAGAAGATTTTACACAGGCTTCACTCATTAAAAGAGTAAATAAAATTTACTCCTTAGAAATTCTGGCTATACAAACTGTAGGTTTACATGGTTCTTTGAAAAAGCAACACCAATCCAACCTTTCCTATGTCACTACCTATAGACTCCTTGACCACACATTTTTCCTTCTTTCCAGTTGCCCACATAATGATCTTCTTTGTTCAGAGACTTATTTGGGATTCTGTATTCTCCATACCTGCCAAGGAAAATAAAACACATCAGAAGACACACTTATCATACATTCACCTTTTGTGTGTATCTACCAGTGAGCATTTTAATGAGGAAGTCAGAGAAAAGATTTACCCATGGGAAGACAGGGGTAAATGGAGTCTTGGTTTAAGCTGTTCTTTTATTACTTTTTTTTTTTTTTGGTACTGGGGATCGAACTCTGGTCCTTGCACTTGCAAGGCAGGCGACAGAACCACTGAGCTAAATCCCCAGCCCCATCTGTTCTTATTTCCTAAATTAGTTGGCAAGTCTTAGAAGAGTGCCTACTACACTAAGAAATTAATGTTTTATTCCAAGGCAAATGAAAAACAAAAGACCTGTGTCCTAGGTCTGCCACTAGCCATGTTACTTGGGTAAGTCCAGATACCCAGCTTCCTCATCTGTATTATATGTGGGACAGAGTAGATTATCTAAAGTCTGTTTTCATTCTAAAAATCCATTAAAAAGAGATTAAAAGACATCACGAAAGTTTATATTATTGCACACATATACAAAATCACCTACCCAATTTATATCTTTTTTATATAATAAAACACATTACTTTTTTTAGAGTCACACAAAATACTTCAGTCATAAATGTATCACGTAAATCAATCTATAATGTTAGAAAATATGACAAGCTTATGCAAAAATATAGTAGAGTATTATTAGGATAATATATCATTTGGAACATTTTTGTCTTTTGACAAGACATATCACAGAAATAAAAGATGGTTTTAAATTACCAAAAGTGAAATTTCTGTGTCCTTTGTGGAAAGCGAAATGTACTATCCACAGTGTGACCATAAACATTACCCAAGGTCCTTAGTCTCCATCCACAACAGAAAATGGATAGAAAGGGCCAGTGGCCAGGGATGTAGCTGTGGTTCCATCGCCTGCCTCGCAAGCGCAAGGTCCCAAGTTCAATCCCCGGTACCAAAAAAAAAAAAAAAAAAAAAAAATAGAAAGGGCCGGGGAGGTAGCTCAGTGGCACAGCACCTGCCTGGCAAGCGAGAGGTCCTGAGTTCAATCCTGGGCACCCCCCCAAAAAAGAAAACTCACTCCCAAAGTAAATAAAGGTTGCAACCTCAGAGTTCAAGCTCTCTTCATGCTCACCCATGGGCACTCTAAGTTTTAATACACTGTATGCTCATCTAAACCAAACAACAATCTGCTGCTTGTCTGAAAAGCAACTCTGAACAAAAAATAACTTATGATTGAACTTCAATTTACCCTCCTATGTTAAACAATTTTCTTACCCATCTTCCAAGCCATTTCTGAACATGCCAGAATATATCCTTCCATCGGGCCACTTCAACACCCCTCTGGAAGGCATAAGCAAAAAATAATCCCTGTCAACTAGTGTTTTCTAGAATCAATACTTGCTCTGTAATACTTTCTCTGTATTCTCATCCCAGAGACAAATTTTAAACACTGTCACCTGCCATGGGGCTTCCCTGAAAACCAGCGCCCACTGTAAGTGGCATCCTTCAGGCGAGGGTCCTTGTAGAAAGTGTATTTGGCACTGCGTGAAATGGGTGGCTCCTGCCTCTGCACACTGCTGCCACTCCCATAAGCCGGAAGATCAGATGTCCCCCGCAGAGCCTGATCCACAGCCTGGCTTATGGCCCGTAGCCACTTAGTCTAGGAGCAAAATGTAACGGCTGATAAACCCATGGCAACAACTCATGAAAAACTGCTTTAAATCCTACCATCTTTCCCTGGTGTGAACAAATTTTCTGTCTCCTAATGCTTACTGAATATACTAACTGGTTCTTGGAATTTATTATTATATGTTTAAAATCAAGTTACTAAAAAATAAACCTAGTTTTGGTTTAACAAAGATTTACCTGACATATCTGTGAGTCACTGATCAAGCAAGAACAGTATTTTTTCTTCTTTGCTACCTTAAAGGCAGAAATATCCAGGCCAAATACTGAAAGAAAATCCTATAATGGACTAACCTTTTCCTGGGGTGTTGATGAAAGGAGAGTGAACTGTTCTTCAGGTGTAGTTACCTTCAAGCCATTCCTAAAAAGTTCAGAAGGATAAACACCACAAGATATCAGTCCTCAAATATGAAAATCAGCCTACTGATTTCAAGGGGAGTAAAAGTCAATAAAATGCAAATACTCATGCCCTGGACAAGGGTCTCACAGGGGACAGGACACAGGGTCACTCTACTCGGTGTTGAACAACAGGAATGTGAGCAATGGAGCATCTATCTATCATGATTTTCCATGATTACCCAAATAGCCTGTTTTATTATCTCTGGGCCGCTTCACTGCCTCGCGTGCATGTGGAATGGGAGGCAGCCCCAAGCCCTGTCATGTGGAAGGAAGCAAGCTGGTAGTGGCGAGGCGGGCTGTGGAGAAGAGGAGCCATACTCACACACTGCTGGCTTCTTCAGAGAGCGGCTCCACCCAGAGCGTGGCCAATGGAAAGACATGGTGTGTGGAGAACTGCAAGAGAACAAGGAGCCATCTGGAGAGGTCTCCACCTATACCCTTGCTATATCGCTGGCCCACGACAGCTTAGGGTTTCTGCTGTGCAGTCTCCCTGAGATGGCTAAGTGAGGTGGGTGCCACTGTTCCTGCCATGCAATCCCCATAACACAGCCGACCCCAGGGACCCCTTCAAGCGGACACTTATTCTCCACTTGGAGCACAAAAGACCTCTCTGCTGGGGGTGGAGCTTGGTGACAGAGCACTTGCTTAACAGGCAGGAGGCCCTGGACTCAACAGCCAGCACCAGAGAAGAAAAAAGCCCTCTAAATTGAGCCCACACTGTCGTCAAACACTCTTCTATTTAATATGTGCAGAGAAATCACAACGGTTTTCAACACAGACTGACAGCATACAGTCATGTATACACAGTGACATTCGGATCAATGATGAATCACATATATATATAACGGTGGTGGAATAAAATTATAACAATTGAAAAACTCCTGTTGCCTGATGACACCACAGCTGTCATAGTACAACACATTTCATGCGCTTGTGGTGGTACTGATATAAACAAACCTGATGAGACAAATATTTTAAAACTGTACTACTGTAACTTATAATATTTAGTAATCTGCTATACTGGTTTACACCCAAGAAGCAATAGATTCTACAGTAACCTAGACATATAGTAGGTTTGTGTAAGTATACTCTATGATGTTCAATAACAAAATTGCCCAACAATTCGCCTCTTAATATCCCCACTCTTAAGCAACACGTGGAGTAGTTAGTGACTACAACAGTGCACCTTCAAGTGCCTCTTTCAAGGACAGGTATCAGGTTAGGAGTCCAACTCACCTGGGCGTGGACAAGGGCATCGTTAAAGAGAATGAACCAATTCACAGAAAACCTGCCAGCATGCTGCAGAGAGAGGGCTCGGTTACTGCTCTCACACAGCAGTCGGCGGTCTGGCTTCCTCAGGGAATCCTAGAATTGAAAACAAATACTACTACACCAGGGGCTGAGGATTTAGCTCAGTGGTTCCGCCAACTGACTCCAAGTGCAAAGTCCCGAGTTCAATCCCTGGTACCCAACAAAACAAAACAAAATAATTACTGCACTGACCAATCAGAATCATTTTAACATGCAAAGAGAAAATAAAACAGGCAAAAATTTAGGGCAACTGGTCACAGCTCCGTGTGGCATTAAACTCAGATGGAATCCAAACACTTTACAGAATTAGAGCCCAAAGGAGATTAAAAAGAAGATGGAAGGGGCTGGGGATTTACCTCAGTGGTGCTGCTGCCTGTCTTGCAGGCACAGGGTCCTGGGTTAGATCCCCAGTAGTAAAAAAAAAACAAAAAACAAAAAACAAACAAACAAAAAAAGAAGATAGGAACAAACTAAAGACAGTAAGTCTTCAGAGGATTCCTAGAAATGAAGGAATGTATTGATATTTAGAGTTCTCATTCCTATACTCCTTAGCCATTTTAGGAAAGAGGTCATTAGAGCATTACTGTTCAAACAAGTGAGAAACAGAAAAGGTAATGACAATTATTACAGAATTCCCAGGTGTTTGCTGGGGTAACAAAGGACAGTGGCAAGGTTTACCGTCATTTTTCCAGGAAAGGTCTTCCAGAAGCCCAGTGTGTTCTCTGCTTCCTTCCTTTTCCTGCTGAGATGGACAGCAAGAGACTCATAATAAGAACTGGAATCCTGCAGCTTCTGATATTCTGGAGATGTCTAGAGGCCAACAATTAAAGGAGGAAAGAAGAATACAAAACAATTATCCACAATCCAGAGACTCTGGAATGATATGATTTAGATATACACTACTAGTTAAAGGAGAAAATTTCAGCCTGAGAACAATAGTATTTTACTAAAGGGAACTGGGGAAGGACAAGATTGATTCCATAAAGATTTTCTGACATAAAGGCTATGTGAAATAGGGGAATAACCTGAGGGGGAAAGGGGTAAATACTGTCAGTCATCAGTGGAAAGAACAGCACAGAACTCGGGACAGGGCAGGTCGCACAAGTTAGTCTCAGAGCCCCTCTGTTTCCTATGTGTGAGGTATATGTCACCTTAGAAAAGAAAATTAAGAAAATTTAAGAAGTACTTATTAATTCATTTCAAGTTGAGATTTTAAATGACTGCATTTCCCAAACAAAAAGTTTTGGTGAGAAATACGGCACTGGTTTACATTTTTCCAAATCTATTATCTGGCTTAAACGACAACAGCTGGGTTTTTATAGCTACTACTTTTAATCTGTTATGATACACTGTTTTGTTGAAATATATGAAGAAAATCTTGCCTTCTAAAGATAACTGGAAAAGATAGAAATATTTTAATAGCTATTACAAACAACACTGCTATTCTCTTTTGAGACATATTAGAACTTGGTAAGTAGCAGCTTAAGAAATCTGAACTGCAGCAATTAACTTCATATACCCTGTTACATTGGAATGCTCTGCTCTTTCTCCACACATGCTTCTGTAACACTGGAGACTGGGCATTCAAAAGTACTAAGCTATACAGATCTTCCAAATATTGGATATATTTGTACAGAATCAAAAATCAACATTATCATGTGTTTCATCAGAAAGAGGGTTACATATTGTGAGATTGTCAGGCTCACAGTGGTAGACTCATGACTCCCAACATTTTAATTTCTGCTTTTAAAAATTCAGATTTTACCACTGGCAACAGATAATACCTGCTGTTCTTGAAATGACAGAGTCATTTACTTAAATTTGAGAAAGCACCTGTCAATATCCAAATGTGAGTAACCGCAGTTTTTCTGTCCCTCGTAATGTTTATTCAAGTTTAAAAACACAGGCCTCAACTCAATCACAACTGTGTTTTTCCTTGAGAAATATCACACATGGGTATGCAGCGGAACTGTGTTACAGGGCCTCCCCATTTCAGCACAGAGTACCTTAAAAAGACATACACTCAACTACTAACACCCTGACGTTAGTAATTTCTTTAGCTTCGTTATGAATGTTCTTCAGGGAAATTGGCACTTTGCGCTTTGGCTTTTAGCTGCAAGTACAAGGCTAGTACTGCCTTGGTTCCTGCTAAGGAGCCAGCAGTTTTACTCGCCTTTACTTCCCTTTACTTCCGCACTGTCAGTGCAAATAACAACATGGAGGACAAGGTCTCAATATTGTTGTGAAAATAGTTGAGACCTTGTGAATCCCAACAGTGTCTCTGGAACCCCTAGCATTCTGAAAACCAATCTCTGAGAACCAATTACCAGAAAAGGATAACCGCTGAGTGAGCAGATGGTAAGACAGACAGCTGGGTGTGGTGGTGCAGGCCTGTAATGCCAGCACTCAGGAGGCTGAAGCAGGAGGGTCACTGTGAGTTCTAGGCCAGATTGGACTAAATAATTGGTTACTTGCTGGTTCAAACCTGTTCAGTGAAAACAAGATCTGTTTGGGCTAAAATTGAAAGCAGACTGGGCTGGGGATTTAGCTCAGAGGTTCTGCTACCTGCCTCACAAGCGCAACGTCCCACATTCAATCCCCATCCCACATTCAATCCCCGGTACCAAAAAAACAAACAAACAAAAAAAATGAAATCAGGCTAAAGAAAAGAACTATGAGATCACAGGAGGATCTAATGTAGGAGTCACTCTGGGACCCGAAATCTGTCTAGATAAGGAGATAAAGGCCAAGATTTAAAAGATTTTAAGGAACTTAGGAGTCATTATGGTTTCTTTAGAGCCCTTCAGAGTGGAAACAAAATGAAATCACACATTTTAGTACAATCTCAAAGATGAGGGTCTCAGCACCAGCTCAGGATCAACTACTGAATGAGCAGCAGTCAAAACAGGGTCTCGACTTTTAGACATTTCATAAAATGAATATAGACAATCTGGATAAAGTCCTAAATGGAAACTGAATCCACAGCAAAGAAAACTAGATTTGCCTAATCATACTTTCCTTTTTTACTGAAGGAAAAGAAATTTAATCAGATATATGTAATATTAAGTTAGTGAAATTAGTGAAATTCTAGATTTTATGGTGGCTTTATCCAAACAAAATATGATTCCTGGCTTCCCAAGTATCCAAAGCAGGTACATGTGGGAACTTACCACTTCAAAACAAGTAGCAAGCTTTAGCAAAACTTTTGCATAATTATGAAGGCGTCTGATTGGCAAGAAAAAAAGAGTATTCAATATTTCCATCAACTGAGTGTTTTCATCATTCACGTCTGACAGATCTTGCAACAGCTCTTGATTTTTATTTAGGAAATCACTGAAAAGTAAAGCGAAAAATATTCAGTTAATCATTTTGATATTGATAATATATGTATAATACTGCATAGAAAATTTCACTAGACAAAATGTTTTTCAGGCTATACCTTTTTAGGTATAAAAAGAGAAGATAAATACAAGATTGAGATAATTTCTCTAGCTATAAGATAGGAATTTTGAAAGTATAAAACATAGCAAATTGTAGCAATAGCAACTCTAATAGAAATGGACACAAATAGAAACACAGATTTGTGCCTTAAATTCTAGGAAACCAATCATGCATCCCACAGTTTCAGGGAAAAATCAGACCAAATGAACCATTACCTATTATTTTCAAGTCAAAAGTCAAAGGGATAAATGGCAGTTCTAATTGCTCTAATTAGTTGTGCTAAACAGAAATAGGAAAAAAAGGCAAAGCTCTTCGCTTCAGAATTAGTATATATATTCACATACTTCTAAATTCTTCCTTTGTCTCTTCAGTTGTTGATTACCTAGTAAGAGTTTATTACAGGAGGTGGGGTGGGGGGGAAATCCCTGCAGGAAACGGCACTACAATTAATGAGACACAGTAAAGCAAATATATGTGAAGATTTTAATAGAGATCTTCAAAAATATTTCAACTGAAGTCAAAATTTAGCCATATAAGGGCTGGGGATTTAAGCTCAGTGGTTTTGCTGCCCGTTGTGCAAGCGCGAGGACCCGAGTTCGATCCCCGGTACCCCCCCCCCCAATTTAGCCTTGTGTTCTGTTTTTATCAATTCATTATTAAAAATTTATGCAAATATTAAGGCTGATTGGTAACTCACTCAGATTATGTTCATCAGGCCAGCACACTTAGAAGGTTTGTAAAGAAGTAAGAACTGGTAAACAGAATAATCATGTCTCTTAATGAGTGATAATTATGTACCAGGCTCTGCCCTCAGTACAGTACTTTATAGACAGACTACAAATCTCAGCTACAAGGCCTCAAGTAGGATGCAGTGTCACACAAGACTGTAAGACAAGAACAAGTCACTCTATAATCTCTTAGAGAACTATGGAGTAAGGACACATTTAAGCCAGAAATTGCGAAATACTCTCGGAAAGCTATATAAAAAGTCATAACAATTTGCAGGAACTAAAAAGTTGAATGTCACAGATCTGATTGTTTCACACTACAGTTTAGAGTTCCTGGGAACTGGCCGGGGATTTAGCTCAGTGGTCCCGTCGCCTGCCTAGGGTTCTTGGGAACATGGTCCAAACTTCTGCTTTATGCTTAGCTTGTGTCCACATTGCTTCCCTGTGCTGCTGCAGGGGTCTGCCGAAGACACTTGCACAGCGCCCCAGAAGAGCTCTGCTCTGAGCGGCTCCCGATGGGTTGAGGCAGGACACGGACAGCACATACACCTTTGTGCTCATTTTCTCCTGGATGTCCAGACCCTGTCCATACTACTGCAGAAATATCCCAACTCTGCAAGCCCCATTACATTTCACATCTCAGTCAGGCTCTTGCTTACGGACTTCTTTAAAAGGAGTCCCATCCAGAGATTTAGCTCTGTGGTTCCATCGCCTGCCTCGCAAGTGCAAAAAGGTCCCGAGTTCAATACTCAGTATCAAACAAACAAAAAAGGAGTTCCAGTATGTTCTCAGAAAACCTGAACCAGAGACTCTACTCGGCTTATCTTCGCTTGGGAGCTTTGACTCTAATTGGAGCAATATTGTTTTTTTCTTACACAACTACATATGCATTTTCACTCAGATTTTACTTGGCTATTTGTGGTATTGGGGATTGAATCCAGAGCCTTTGTTCTGAGTTACATCCTTACCCCTTAAAATTTTTTTAAATTTTTAGACAGGGTCTCCCTAAGCTGCCCAGGTGGACTCGAACTTGTGAACCCCCTGCCTCAGCCTCCTTGAGTGCTGGGATTACGGGAATGTGCCACTATGCCCAGCTTACTCAGATTTTCAAAATAAAAAATATATTAAAAGGTAGAAACAACTCAAGTGTTTCTCAACAGATGAGTCGATATATGTGGTATATACAAACAAAGGGATATTATTCAGCCACAAAATGGAATGAAACTTTGATATATAATTCATTATATATTTAAATTTTATTCTTAAATAAACCATACCCAGAAGGACAAATATGATTCCACTTCAGTAAGGTACCTAAAATAGGCACCTTGGGTTGTTTCGTAGTAAATAAGCATTTCTGATTGGGAAATTAATTCCTTTCCATTAATCTCTACAGGGTCTAAGAACATGCAGCTTTCTCTTCCTGGGCCACTGTAGGAGACCTGATCCCCAGGCTCGGCCCCAGCACCACATGGAGCCCTGTGCTCAGGGGCAGAGGGATTTCTGTAGTTGATAGGAAGTAGAATAGAGGTTACCAGAGTCTTGAGGGAGAGGGTACTGGGCAGTTATTGTTTAGTGAGTGCACAGTTTCTGATGGGTACAGCGACTAAGTTAGACAGTGAGTACACATAGTAGTAATGGTAACACAATGTTATGAGTGTATTTGATCCTGCTGAATTGTTCACATATGAAGTACTCTGATACATGTTTTACCATAATTAAGGAAAAAAGCCTGAATAATGATCAAACCACCAGCTACATGATGAACCAGTTGAGTAATGACAGTCTGAGCACTATCATCCGGCTTAGTTACTTTTTCTTGTTGTTGTGACAAAATATTTGACACCTAAAGTTAAAGGAGGAAAGGTTTATTTAGCTCACAGTCTGTAGAGGTTTCAGTACATAATCGGCTGGTTCCAAGGCAGGGTAGCATGGCACAGGGGCATCACAGAGGAGAAACAGTCCACGGCAGGCAGAAGACAACAAAGCAGCAAAGTAGCAAGTAGCAAGTGACAAGCGACCAGCAATGACAACAGCAGTCCTCTTGCTGTCCATTATATTTTATCCAGATTACCTGCCTTAGGGTGGGTAGCATTCATATCCTTAATTCTAGCATCGCACCATTAAACTATCCCAGCATTACATACTGTAGATCCAGCCACCTCCAAAAAGCCCCACCTATGATTGCATTTGGGGAGAACATCTAGATACAAGCCATATGGCTGCCACACTGAGCTTAAAGGTCTTCAAACTTTTCTCTTTTTTTAAAATTTTTTGAGACAGGGTCTCACTGTGTAGTCCAGGCTGGCCTTGAACACATGGCGATCTTTTTGCCTCTGCCTCCCAAGTGCTGAGATTACAGGTGTGCACCACCATGCCTAGCCTATTTTCTTTTAAAATAAAATCTTCAGAATAATTTTAAATATTGACTTTGTAAATTAAAACTGAAAAAAGTTATCACTGCTACTTTTAATCATGAAAAACTTGAACAAACATGAACTACCACATGGAAAATGCTTCCCAAGTCCAGAAAGGATGTAACATCTGCTGCCATAGCTCAGGTTCACCCACTGTTCATTAATTGCTTCTCATGTGCTCAGGATCTGGGGCTTGGTACTGTGCAAGACGTGAGTGGTGTTCACATGTCAACTCATTTGGCTGGATCTGAAGGAGTCAGGTCAGTTCTTGTGTACTGTAAACTTAACCGAAATACCTCTGGGAAATAAACAATAGAGCCAATATGTGCAGGTATGGTGGCGCTAGCCAGTAATTCTAGCTACTTGAGAGGCTGGGTATAGAGGACCACAAATTCAAGGCCAGCCTTGGAAACTCAGCAAGCATTGTCTCAAATTAAAAAATAAAAAGGGGCTGAGGACTTAGCTCAGTGGTGAAGTGCTTGCCTAACATGAGTGAGGCTCTGGGCTCAATCCCCAGTACCAAAGGGAAAAGCACCGGGTGTGGTAGTGCATGCTTACAGTCCCAGCATGAGGGAAGGTGAGGCAGGCAGATCCTTGGTTCCAGGCCAGCTTGGATTACATATCAAAACCCAGGCTCCAAAACAGAGAAAGCCAAATACTGTACCAGAGCCAGCAATTACCATGATCTTCGAAGAGACCCAGAGGCCTCCCATTCAAATCACCACAAAAGCCAGGCCTGGTGGTGCACACCTGTAACCCCAGCACTCAGGAGGCTGAGGCAGGTGGACCATTAAGTTTGAGGCCAACGTGGGCAATATAGTGAGTTCAAGACCCACTTGCACTGCACAGCAAGACCCTGTCTCAAAATAAATAAACCAAAAAGTAAAATAAAATAAATCACCACAAACCTCCAAGTTACACATTCTCCTCCAATTAAATCTGGTTTTCTTCAAGTATTATTATTTGCAAAAGTAAACTAACCAATGTTCTTTCTACTTTAATTATTAATTTGGCTGCAACCATTTTTTCCCTACTTTTTCGGAGTCATGATTCATTACTTTACCAATGCTAAAGGTTAAATAAACTATTTTGTCACTATAACAAACAATTTATAAGTAATAAATAAAAATCAGTAATCCCAACAAATGTAAACATGTGAAAGCCAGAAGCTCTTAGCTGGGTAAAACAACAAAATTAAGACCACTTATTTGCTATTTAAGACAAATATACAAAACCAGTAGAATACTGTGCAGAATGTGGGACAGTAAGAGAATAGATCACGTACCAAACAATACAGGAAAGGGATTTTGAAGTTTCCATATAAGGTTAAAGATATAACACATCTGAATTTGTCATTAAAAATGATGGCCAAACCTTTAGAGTTTGGAAATGAAAAAGCCTATGACACGAGTCAAAAACAATTTGTAATAAATATTACCAAAAATATTTAGACCTGAATGACAATAAAAACAAAATATCTCACCCAGTCATGGTGGTGTATGCCTATAATCTCAACACTACTGGGAGGCTAAGGCAGGAAAATAGTTCAGTCATCCTAGGCTCCACAGCTAATTTAAGGCCAGCCTGGATTATACACAGCAAGACACTGTTTCAAAATGAAACAAAAAACAACAAAAAAATCCAACAACAACAGAAAACCTCACCAAAATGCATAAGATTATAGCTAATACAATGAGATGAAAATCTATAGCCTTAAAATACTATATTAGAAAAATTAAAAGACTGAAAACAAAGCACTAAATTTAATGAAGTTAGAGATTTACAAGGAAAGTAGAAGTAAATAAAGAGCAGAAATTAATGAAATAAAAAACAAGGAAAGAAAGGATCAGCCAAACTTAATCTTTAAAAAGATTAATAAAAAAGGGGTGAACTCGGGCCAGGGATTTTAGCTCAGTGGTTCCAGTGCCTGCCTCGCAAGCGCAAGGTCCCAAGTTCGATCCCCAGTACCAAAAAAAAGCGGTGAACTGCTGACAAGACAGATCAGGATGAAAATAAATAAATAAAGGCCCAATTAAATAATAATAGCAATGAAAAGCAAGGCAAACAAATACAGTTATTATGAAGATGAAAACATCTTTAAAAAATGCTTTGAACATTTTGTCAAATCTGAAAACAAGGACAAAATAAACAATTTTCCAAGGTAATATGAGTGACTAAAGCCATCAACAAACATCTGAACATATCAACTCATTAAAGAAACCAGATTGATAATTCAAAAACTCCCCACAGGAAATATCCTCATTGAAGTCCATGCATCTTTTTAATAGATGGATTCTAGTCAAATCCTCAAAATACAGATAATCCCTATCTCACAGGGACTATTTCAGAAAATAGAAAAGGAGAGAAAGTTCTCCAACTGATTTTATAATTGCTAGTGCAATCTTTTAACCAAAATTGCCCAAGTTCACCCTCACATAGATGAAAAGTATTTAAACATTACCAAACTGAATTCAGCAATGTATTAAAAAACTAGCACATAAAGACCACTGGATTTACTTTGGGAACTCAAGGGTGTTTAACTTTACAGAAGTCAATTCTTAGTCTAGGAATGTAGCTAATGGTACAGTACTTGCCAAGTGTGTGCCAGGCCCTGGGCTTGATCCCCAGCACCACAAAGGGGACAAAAAAAAAGAATTTCCCTCCAACTTTTAAGAAGTGGAGGTTTTTGGGGGTTTTTTTTTTTTGGTACCGGGGATTGAACTCAGGACCTTGTGCTTGCAAGGTAGGCTCAGTGCCACTGAACTAAATCCCCAGCCCCAGAATTGGAGTTTTTTAATCCTAAAAATGATATCTACTAAAACTTTGCAGCAGTGATGGTGAACCTGCAACTCAAAACCCACTTATTTATTGAAAAGTGCTAACACTTTGTGTGCTGTTATCCAATGCTCCGCTGGTGGGGCGATGCTGGGGTGACTTGGCCCACGTGCCAACACAGGGCTCCGCATATCCCTGGCAGCATGAGAGCCACAGGTTCACCACCACTGCTACAGTAACCAACTTTATTGGTGAAAACTAAAAGTATATCCTTCAAATCCAGAAATGAAATAAAGATGATAATATTCCTGTAAGAATAAAAGCACACATGGCAAAATATTAACATCTATTAAATGTGGGTGGTGAGTATTTTTTAAAACTTGCCTTTATTGCTACACAACCACTTGCTGAGAAACTATACAGTAAGAAGTACCTGCCACATACAAGGGGGCCTTTATACTCTTTATCCAGAAGCTACACACAATTACTTTATATTCATCAACGCCCACTTTTTCATAACCATCACATTGTTTCTCATTAATGGAAGAGAGAACCTTCGCATTTGTTAGATGAAAAAAAATTAGGCATTCTGGGGTAAAGGGAGTTATCCAAAGTTTCAGGGAAAAAAGTGGTGAGACACTAAAGCAGCAATAGATCCTGTGCCTTTTAATTCAGTGTTTTTCAATAGCCTATTCTAAACTGGGCATAGTGCTGCACACCTCTAATTCCAGCTACCTGGGAGGCTGAGGCAGGAGTCCCAAGTTCAGGCCAGCATGGGTAACTTAGCAAGACTATCTCAAAATTTTAAAAGGGTGGGCCGGGGATTTAGCTCAGTGGCACTGCGCCTGCCTGGCAAGCACAAAGTCCTGAGTTCAATCCCTGGTACCATAAATAAACAAATTAATTAATTAAAATAAAAAGGGTAGCCACTGCCTGTAATCCCAGCACTTGGGAGGCTAAGCCAGGAGGACAGCTGTGAGTTAGAGACCAGCATGGTTACATAGTAGGTTCAAGGTCAGCATGAAATACATGGCAAGCCCCTGTTTTTAAACAAACAAACACAATTTTAAAAGAGCTGAGGAGGTAGCTTAGTGGTAGAGCACTTGCCTAGCATGTACAAGGTCCTAAGTTCAGTCCATGGTACTTAAAAAAAAAAAAAACTCATTAATTCTAATGCTAATCAAGTGCTAATACTTTCTGTCCTCTTTAAGAATGAGTTAATAAGTCTAATTTGATTTACTGGTCAAATGGCCAAGTCAAAGCTTTCCCTGGGCACTCAAAAACAAACACTAGAAAACATGATCTTTGGCTGTTAGAGAGGTAGCTGGAAAGTATGTATGTGCTTACATGGCAGGCTTAGCAAGAAGCTGGAATCCTCCCATAACCAGGAAATTTGTAATTGATGTGCAATACCTTAAGCAAAAAAGAAAACACATATACATTAGGGGCAAAACATAAACTATTTCTTGAGTTTTCAAGCAAGTATTTGGAATAGATACTACTTAAAATCTCATCAATGGGTTTCTGAACTTTTGTGATGTCAATATTCACAAACTGTAAAGGACTGAAGAGCAGGTTGTAGGACAATAATAATGCTGTGAGGGTAATGCTATTTTAATAAAGATTCTAATATAAAAAGAAACTCTTGCCAGGTGTGATGGTTCACGCCTATAATCCCAGCACTAGGGAGGCTGAGGTAGGAGGACTGTCATGGGTTTGAGGCCAGCCCAAAGCTGTGCAGACAATGCTAGAATTCACTTGGCAGTTAGTACTGAGTTACCTAAGTAACAAACTGCAGGAAAAAATCATTAACATGACTGAATTTTTAATGAAAATTTAATTTTCACTTCAGGTTTCCCAATTATGTCTTCAGAAAATGAGTATTAGACAGTAAGAAAATAGGTAAAAAGAGGTTGAATGAGAAACTATTAGAAAATGTTGATTAAATACTGACAAACTGCTAGGGAACAACTGTGGATAATATGATTTGAGCAAGTTACACTTCCTCCATACTCCTGGGCCAGCAAATGAAATCAATATGTTTTTCAAGAGAAAGGAAATTTTTACTAAAAATAGCCCAAGGGGATGTGGACTTGGAAAAATAGTTATAGTGGTGAATTTTAGATGATAAATACTTTACCACTCTTAAAATAACTTTAAAAAATTCATAGTATAAGTCTATTTTTATTTGCTCTATCTATAGGACTAAAATATGTTAAAAAGTAGTTCCAGGGGAAAGGAAAGGGAATGGAATTTATACGAGAAAATGAAAAAAATGGAAACAAAGTCTATGTAAATAGGGAGGGGTGGAGGGGTTGAAGGTAGGGCAGGGGAGGGGGAAAATAAGAACCAAGAGAGATTATGTAAAGAACGGTACAAATTCCCAATGATGAATGTCATCATATTGTATACCTAAAACGTACCAATAAAATTAATTTTTTAAAAAAAGTAGTTCCAGATACCAAACAGAACCATGTTCAAGCATAAGGCCTAAAGTGTGAGAGGTGAAAAGTGAAACAGGCATTTTTAGGTAAACGTAGTTAAAAGAAAGATAATTATACTGAAATCTTCACAAACAGAAGCCAATTTTAAAAAGTAACTTAGAATCAGATCCTATTATTATGTTCCATGTCTGAAAGATAATGAGCTTAAAAATTCAAACAAAGGTATTTCTTCTCAGGCAATAGCTTCAAATATACTGTTTGCTTAGAACTGAAATTATACACATCTATCTGCACACGCACAGGTCTGCATGGGAAACATTCAGATGACCCACAGGCGTGATTTCTAGTGGTGGGGTTAAGAGCAACTTTATCCTTTTGATTATCTTTTTTTGCACAGTTTTCAAAAAGAAACACACATTGGGCAGGGGATTTAGCTCAGTGGTTCCACCGCCTGCGTCAAAAGCGCAAGGTCTTGAGTTTGATCCCCACTACCAAAAAAAAAAAAGGTGGGGATTTAGCTCAGTGGGACCACGGCTGCCTGACAAGCACAAGGTACTGAGTTTGATCCCTGGTACCACAAAAAATAAAAAGAAAGAAACACACATTATGTTACAAATAACCTAAATGAAACAAAGACAGGACAGAACTTTTCCCCAGCTCACCCGCCTGCCCCGACTTGGGCTCTGTCTGCAGCTGGCCCTTAGTGGGTGTTCACTGAGTGAATCACCAAGGTTTGAGTGAATGAAGAACCAAACTGATACATAATTAGACCAACAGCATAACCTACTCTGCATTAAAATAACAAATTGGATCATAATATCAAATTACAAATTAAAAAAGAAATATTATAAGTTAAATTTCCAATATACTTTGATATTTTACTTAAACATAAAAAGAACCTTGGATAACTATTCTAGATTTTATTAAGAAAATATTCTTATGTTAAATGTAGTTAAGCCTTTTAAATTCTTCGTTTGCACAAGAGTAAAAACAGCTCCATACTTAGCTGACCTTCAAATAATTTATATATTAATTTCCTCAAATTTTAGCACAATTCATGTAAATAAACAAAATAACCAGACTTATTATAGTACATATAGTAAATTACACTCTCAGCCAGGTTTGGTGGCACATATGTATAATTCCAGCACTCTGGGAGGCTGAGGCAGGGGCTCAAGTCCAACCTGAGCAACCTGGTGACCTAGTGAGATTCTGCCTAAAAACTAAAACTAGTAAAAGGTCTAGAGATGCACCTCAGTGCAAATACCCTAGGTTCAATCTCCAGTACCACAAATAAAACAAAACAACAAAACACTTATCAGTCACCTTGTTGCAATATAGAAGGAAAGATGAGAATTCATTATTTTTAAACCATTTTTTTCTTAAAGAAAATTGCATTTTAGCAATATAGAACTATAGTTGGCTTAAGATTAAAATACTGCTTTTCAGTCTCTATTACTTTACATCCCTGTCCCTAATCTAGTCCCTTCTGATTAAGGAGCTGCTCTCCTTGGCAGAATAACCCTGCGGAGACTGAACATGAACGGGGCTGGATACTTGCTCTGTGTGACTATCCAAGAAGAGACTCGCATGTTTCAGGATGACCAGATTCCCAGCTTCCTTTGTGCCCTGAAGGAAGCTGCTCAGGGAGGCTCCGTGCTGACCAGTCAGGTAACACAGCTTGCTGAGCTGGCTTGCAACCTCCTGCAAGAGCTGCACTGCAGTCACAGGGCCCAGATTCTCTGCAACAAAATGACAGTGAAGACAGAAAGACTGCAGACTTTCTTCTGATCCCATGACCAAGATTCTGAGTTTCCCTTTTCTAAGAATACTTACTTGATATGTTGAGAAGTTCTCTCATCTATAGAAGTCAAATATAATTACAGAAAATGTTACAGAATCCAGTCTCCCATGAAATTTGTTAAAAGTGCATTCACAGGGGGGCTGGGGATTTAGTTCAGTGGTACCGCGCCTGCCTCACAAGTGCCAGGCCCTGAGTTCAATCCCAGTACCACAAAACACAAAACAAACAAACAAAAAAAGTGCATTCACAGGAACTTTGTAATTTTGACACAGTAAGTCTGGTGTTAAGATTCCATGATAGATATTTAAACAGTAAGTTTTACAGGTGATTTTTAAAGATCAGCAAAATTCTGGAACCACAAAGGTAACCAACAATCCTCAAATTTTCAAAATAATCTGAAACCAAGACAAAGGAAGTAATGACTAGTAAAACTAGTTAAATTAATATGTAGAGTTATATCTTGGCTGTTTTCAACATCTGTACTGACTTCCGTTCTACCTGGCCCTTGGGGAAACCCAGCTCTTCTGTGTACAGGGTGCACCCCAAACATCAGGTGGCCTAGATTGCTCTTGCCTTTTCTCAGCTCAAAGTTCCTCTTTGCTAGGATTCCTTCCCAAGCAATAAGGCTGACGAGTGGACTGGTAAGGCCAACAGAGATTCATGTCAGGGACAAGCAGGCACCCCTTTCCTTCCACAGCAATCCAGAAAGCTTCCTTCATAGGTTGCTTGTTTCCCTTGTTCAAGGCCTAGGGGCTAGGCCACTCAGAGGAGAATTTATAGAACAAGGGCTCTACAACACTTAAAAAAGCAAAAGATATTTTAAAAATAAGAGTGCCAGGGCCAAGGATTTAGCTCAGTGGTTTCACCTCCTGCTGCGCAAGAGCAAGGACCCGGGTTTGATACCCGGTACCAAAAAAACAAAACAAAAAACAAAAATAAGAGTGCCAGGAGTAGTGGCACACACCTGTAAAGCCAACACTCAGGAGACTGAGGCAGGAGGATCACTGCAAGTTCAATGCCAGCCTAAGCTACATAGCGAAATGCTGTCTCAAAAACAATTATTAAAAAAAAAATCAATCAATCAATAATAATAATAATAATAAAAGCCAACAAGCCAAGCATGGTGGTACACTTGGGAGCCTGAGGCAGGAGAATTGCTGCAAATTTGTGGCCAGACTGGACTACGCAGTGAGTTCGAGGTCAGCCTGAACTACATAGTAAGACCCTGTCTCAAAAAACAAACAAACTTAATTAAACAAACAAACATGCAACCAGTCCTCAACTTAAAGAGTGACTGTATTCATAAAGACTACTGAGCCAGATAAGTCAGCATCAACTTAACTAGGGAAAATGCTATCCTAGAGTATTAGCTTAACTTTCACATCCTCCAAGGGGGCCAGTTAGTAACAGAAAGAGGAAAGCAAAGAAAACTCCATCTCCATTCTCTTACTGTAGGGCTAAACATAGAAAAGTTTGAAATAAGAGAAAACTGTCTTCAACAGCAGACCCTTAACACCCTCATGGTGATAATTTTTAAGATATTATTTATAAATGCAAATGATTTTTATTTGGTATAATTTCTAAGAACTCTAACAAAGAAAATGAAAAATTCAGATTATAATGGAAGACATCTTAGAACTGGTAGGGCTAGAAATGCTGCTTGGAAGTCTCTGCTATGAATAGACTAGAAGTTCCAATTTCTACTTGTGCAAGTAGCAGGAGCTATGGGAATAGGAGGACAGGGCTAATGACAAACTGAGAACAGTTTGTGACTACCTGTGTACAAAAAAAGGGAGTGGAAAGGAGTCAATCAAAATTCAGAAGGTTTCTCAGGGCCACAAGTAGTGGGCTGAGGCAGGAGGGTCACTTGAGCCCAGGAATTTGAGGCAAGCCTGGGCAACGTAGTAAGATTTTATCTCTTAAAAAAAAAACCCCAAACCTTTCCTCATTCATGATACAGGAAGAACATAAAGCCAGAGTCCTGATGCTGTGGGGTGGGGAGCAGGGAAGGGTCCAGCTTACCTATACTGAGAAGAGGCCTGAGTAGCTGAGATTTGACACCACTCAGTTTTGAATAGAACCGTCTTTCACTAGCAGCCAACTCGTGCAGACTGGCGATATACCCCATAATATTCTTGTCCACCAAGGCCAGACAGCTATCTTTTCCTGCTGCTACTCTGCTTATATATCCAAGCTAGAAAAGAGGAAGATAAAAAGGTTACAGAAAATACAATTTACAAGCAGGAATTTGGTACACTGAAGCTGGCTCATGTCAGCTGACACAAGAGTCAAAGACTTAAATATTCAGGAATTTTATAAGCAGGTTATTAAACCACTGGTAGCTTGAAATAGGCCACAGTGAAAACCTGGAAAACACTACAGACCAAGAGCTTTTATATTTGCTTGTTTTAGAGCCGGTACCAGTGTAGTATTGTTAATATATATATATATTTCTGGATCTATGTGTAACTATATACTTCAACTTTTATTTATCTCCAAGATACCTTTTATTTCACACCACAAATGCTGGAATCACAGACAACCTAGATATAGAAGATCCAAGGAGAGGGTTATATAGCCACAAACCCCCTTTTGCCCTCTCAAGTATCAAAGGTCTAGAAGTTAGCTTGCCTTTAAAAGTACAACATAAAGGAATTTTCTTTATGAAAACAGGGACCTAAATGTGGTGGCATATCCTTGTAATCCAAGCTACTCAGGAGGCTGAAGCAGGAGGATTGCAAGTTGAGGTCTGAGGCTACTTTGAGCAACTTAGTAAGAACCTGTTCAAAAAAGAAGGAAGGAAGAAAAAGAGAAAAAATTGCAAATGGATTTATATCAAACTAAAAAGTCTCTGTACAGGAAAGGAAATAAACAGAGCGAAGAGATAATCTACAGAATGGGCGAAAAATACTCGTCAACTATTCATCCAGTAAAAGGATTTATAGCCAAAATATATAAGGAATTAAACAAACAAAACACTTGATAGTAAAACCCAAATATTTCACTTAAAACATGGGCACCTGAATTGATACTTCTCCAAAGAACATATAAAAATGGCCAACAGTATATGAAAAAATGTTCAATATCACTGGTTATCAAGGAAATAAAAATTGAAACCATAATCAGATATCTTATCTCAATTAGAATGGCCATTATCAAAAAAAGACAAAAAAATGAATGCAGGCAAGGATGGGAAAAGGAACCCTAATGCACCAATGGTCAGAATGTAAATTATTACAGCCACTGCAGAAAATACACGGAATGTCCTCAAAAGCCAGCAACAGAACTGTGTATGAAGTGGACCCGGGGGCGCAGGACTGTAGTCCCCGCTACTCAGGAGCTAAGGCAGGAGGGCCATTTGCCCACAAGTGCAAGACCATTGGGTGCAACAGTGAGACCTGCCTCAAAAACAAGAATGAAACACCAGCTACCACTGGACTCTGCAGTTGTGAGCAAAGAGAATGAAACCTGTGTCCAGAGAGACATCTGCACTCATGTGTACTCACAGAAGCCAGTATAAGGAGTTAATCGAGGTGTCTACCAATGAGTGAATACAGAAAATGCAATACACATACATACACAGGAATACCAGTCAGATGTAAAAACATGAGATTTTGTCATTTGCAGTAACATGGGTAGAACTGGAAGACATTATGTAAAGTACAGAAAGACAAATAACCATGTTTTCATTTACATGCACAAAGTAAAAATGTTGATCTCATCAGCTTAGAGAATGGAATAGTGGCAGAGCCTGGGAGCGGTTTGGGAAGGAGAGCATGAAAGACACAGTGAATAGGTGCAGGGTCAGGGTTAGAGAGACCAACTCCTAATGGTCACAGACACGGTGAACCTATGGCCCTCTTTGTCTGCACCGGAGCCCATTCGGCGTGTCACTTTTCTAAACTGAAACCTCTGTCTTGAGGTTTAATTTCAGGGCTGGCACTTTGCGGTAAGTGGATTTTGGGTTACAGTTCAGCACTTGGTCTCTAAAAAGTCTGCTATCACTGACTCTACAGAGTGGTTGGTAACAGTTAACTGAACTTCTCAAAACAGCTGGTAGAGAGGACTCTGAATTTCTCAAAACAAAGACGAGGCAAATGTCTGAGGTGAGATAGGCCAGTTACCCTGATCTGATCTTCACACATGGTACATGTGTCTGTTGAAATGTGACTTTGTATTCTACAATCATTTATAATTAGCATGTATCAATTAAAATGAAAAATGTTCCTTAGAAAAATGGATTTTTTAAAAAAGGGACTTCTAGGGGCCAGGGATTTAGCTCAGCGGTTCCGCCACCTGCTTTGCAAGTACAAGGACCCGAGTTCAATCCCCAGTACCAAAAAATAGTAACATGAAATAAAATTAAAAAGGGACTTACCATTTCCCTATAATACCACAGTACAAAAATATTCATCGTCTTTATTCAAATACCCTAATTAAACCATGCAGGCACTACCACCATCCCATGAGGCCCGAAGCCTCCACACTGCAGCCTCATTCCTTTAATCAGCCTATCTCCTTCTTCTTCTGCTTTTTTTTTTGGGTGAAACCGGGGATTGAAGTCAGGACCTCGTGCTTGCCAGGCAGGCGCAGCACCACCGAGCCACATCCCCAGCCCTGGCCTATTTCCTTCTTTATGCAAACTGTAAAATTCTTCATGGAGAATGTGGAGCCAGGCCAACAAGTACCAAGAGCCAATCACTATACCCGAAAAACAGGCTATTTATAGGTCAAGAGCCAAATCTTGGTCCATGTTATCAATGGCAATGAAGATCTTGTCTCAACACACTCACAGCTTACTAGCCTGAAAAATAAAGGCTAAAAAACAATGATATGCTATTATTTTCAATAAGAATAAAAAATCTGGAATGCACGAATGTTAAGGGTTATGTGAGTTATTCAGAAAAAGGCAATGGCTTAAATTCATGAAAAAGAGGAAGCAGAAAAGCAGAGAGAAATTCAGGTTTTCAAAAGAAAGGAATGAACAGTAGGAAATAAAAGGTAAAGCTAAGAGAGTAGAGGACTGGTGGGAAACAGCACTGCTAGCAGCCATCAGGTCCTTTCTTGTCAGCCATGTGTCCATCTCAGGACCCTGTGGTTTTTACTTCCCACTTGGAAATTTACCTACTCTTTTTCTACTCTAATTGACCTCTAAAAACTCCATGAAACAGTCAGGAAACTTCATTGTGAAATGTACTTCCCAATTTCCCTACATGAGAGTGGTAATTCAACAAATACTTATAAAGAATGAATTTATCATAAGGATACAGCAATGAATGCAACTCTAAGATCCCTACTACCATGAGCCTAATATTATAGTAAGGAAGACAGACAACAGACAAATGAGTAAATTACATAGTGTATCACACGATGAGAAGTTCTATGGAGAGAATAAGGCAAGAAAAGGAGGGAAGGAAGAAATAGGAAAAAGTTTGCAATTTTAAATAAAAGTACTTAATAATAGGCATAAAAATAAAATAAATAGGCACAAATACAAATAATAACAAAATCAAAAAACTATGTGCTACAGCATGCAAGCCTAAGAGCCAATTCCTGTTCACCTTACTCCAGGAGAGAAGCACTGGAGCCCTGGCACCTCCAGGACTCCCTGGAAGGCTGTCACCTTCGGCAGGGTCCTGTCGACCACTGTAATACAGCGCAGGCTGGAAGTCTTCTGTATCCACTAAGAACAGGGAATAATCCTGGCCTGCAGCTACACTCCAGACTCCACGTTCACTGCTTATCTGCAATGACAGAAAGACAATGTCTGTCCAAGGCAAAAGCAGTCAGAGAACTTGAGATCCACAGGAAATGAAAGTCAGGGTACCTAAGCATGGTGCAAAGTTGGTCATAACTCAGAGGCAAAACTCATGCATCAGGAATGTGCCCTCCAATGTGGGAATAAGAAATCCCATATCAGCTTTTAAATTTAGAATTGTTTTTACAAGAATCTGAAAAATTGGAATTTAAAAAGGAGAAGACATAGATCTAACTTTTTAAATGTTATTTTTGGAAATCCGCACAAATAGCCTGTATTACAATTGAGAGGGCAGAACTGTTTAGAGCCTACTCTAAAACTGACAGGACACACCTTTGTCCATTTACATTCAGCTGTATGCAAAAAAAAAAAAAAAACATCTAGGTTAAAAAGAAACAAAATCTACTAAGATTAAAGTCCATGCTAAATTTCAGTTTCCCACTTGAACCTCAGCACCTTGCTGGAGGACTTTTTTTTTTTTTTTTTAACAAACCCTCCACATGATTCTGACACATGCACAAGCTTGAGAATCACTGCTTTCAATGATTTTCAAACCTTAGAGCTTCACACAATGATTCAGGAGCGACCATGGAAAAGCAGGCACCAGAACTCTACTCACTCCCAATCCTGCAGCTAAAGTAGCTCAAACATTCACGTTTCATGTTTGGGAGTCCTCAGAAGATTTCACTTGAAGAAAGGGTACTGCTACAGTACTTCTGCCTCCCACCTCCAGACCCAGCCTCAGCCTTGACCCGACACTGGCCCCCATTATCAGACTCTGTGTCCAAGTGGCTTCAGGGTTCTTGCAGAGGGGAAGTGTGCATGATCCATGTGTCCACAACTTTGTAGCTCTTTTCCAGTACAACACTGTCTTCTCAAATTCAAGCCATCCAAATAACGTAGTGCATGCTGGATACACTGTTAATTGCAGTTTACATCTGAATCACATTGCTAAAGTTGAGGTAGCCATCCTCTTTTAGTCTCTGATACTCAAACATGGGAGCACCAGGCCCACCCATCTGATGGTGCTCACCAGGCCCATCACCCACCTCCATCCAGAAAATCAAACCCTCCTAAAAGGAACGAATACTAATGATGAGAATCTGGCATTTCCTCAGGGTGCTAGAGCAGGAAAGAAAGGTTGAGAATAGTTTTCTAGAATTACACAGAGAGCAGAAATTACCACTCTCTCAATAGCATTGCATAAGCCAAAACCAGTTCCTACAACAGTGAGTCACCACACTTTTAGCTTCACTCTAGAAAACGAAAAAGCTTTAGTGCCACATTGTAGAACCCACACAAACACAGTGCACACTACAATGTTACGTAAAGTCAAATTTAAGAGTATACATTGCTTGACATACAAAGCTCAGAAAACATCACAGCTTGAGAAACATCTGCTTTAAAAGAAAGCTGTTTCGCAAGACAATACTATAAACATTAAATGAACAATTATAGCTAAGAAACGAAAACTAATACTTCTGCAAAACTACATTTAACTTGAAAAGAAGTGTATTCATGCTTTAAAATTTTTAAAAAGAATATCAAATCATGGAGGGGTTGAAAGGAGGGCTGAGGAAGGGGGAAAAAATAAGAACCTAGAGAGTATGTAAAGGTGCATATCTCCAAAGATCAATGTCATTATATTGTACACCTAAAATGTACCAATAAAAGGATATATATATGTAAAAAAGAATATCAAATCAAATTTAGGCTACAAATAAACAATTTTCTAAATTTTAAAAACAAGAAATGAAAAACACAAAGTGTTATATAGCTTAGAATTCTGAAACAAGAAGTTGTTATCAAGTTCACAAAAGTACCTTTGCGAGGCGAGGAACAGTTGTTGGAAAATCAAAATGCCCAAGTTGACCAAAAGTATTGCTACCCCATGAGTAAACCTATTGGAAAACCATAGGAAGGGAAGTTAAGAGTTGCGAATCTGATCTTACATGTCATCTTTGAATCTTTACTCTGAATCTTTATAATAATTAATACCATTACACATATTAGCCTTTCACTCTAACAGATATTAAAATTCATTTTTAAACAAGATCAAAAACAAATGACAGAGTACACAGACAGAGAAGACAGAATCCAGGGGTTAACAATAAAAATAAGGTCTTCAGGTTCTTACTAGCCACCAGGTGCACTGCTCTTCCTACTTTCCGTGTGTTAATATTTAATTCCTACAACTTTTTAATACACAGAACCTAGCCCACAGAGATTAACTTATCTAAGGTTCACAAATTTTTAAATGGCACAGCCATGATTTAATCTCAAGACACATCCTATACTGCCTCTTAGAAAGACTGATGATTAAAGTGATGTACGGAGTTTTAAAAAGTACAGAAAGAAAGTAAAAAATAAAGGCAAGTGTTATAAATAAGTAAATCCAGGCACAGTGGCACACGCCTATTATGACAGCTCTAAGGAAGGCTGAGGCAGGAGAATTCCAAGTTCAAATCCTGCCTGGCAAATAAATTACCAAGACTCTACTTCAAAATAAGAAAATTTTTTTAAGGTTGGGAAGGGAGAGCTGGGAGCATGTCTCTGGGCTCCGTGCCCTAGGCGGGGAGACCATGACTCCTTTCTCTGTAGGCAGGGAAGCTATGGAATGACTAGACAGTCTTTCATGTGCAAAGTTCAGAGTCACTGTTGGAGGAATACAAGTGCTTAGATATCACTACAAGTATTTCTAAGGCTAAAGAAAACCAGATTATAATTATTGTGTTAGAGAAAAAGTTTGTGTTTATTGTGCTTATAAAAGTAATTCATGGTCACTGTACAAGACTGTTAACACTCCAAAAATATAGGAAGTAAAAATCATTGATGAATCAATCACTTAGAGACAAATACTATTCTGTTTTTGACAACATAAATCCTTTCAAGAAATTTTAATGGCCAATAGATATAAAGTCCAAAATAGGATCATACTATTAATACTATTTTGTGGCTTGAACTTTTAAAAATTTAATGGTATGAATTAACATTTTTTGTTTTTTGAGTCAGTGTATCACTGGGTAGACCAGGCTGGCCTCAAAGACTCAATCCTCCTGGCTCAGCCTCCTAAGTGCTGGCAGTATTACACAGGCATGTATATGTGACTGTGCCCTGCTTTAAGTCATTATTATTATTATTATTATTATTATTATTATTATTTTGTGTATGTGTATGTGTGAGAGAGAGATGGGACTGATGACTGAATTCAGGGCTCTGGTACAAGGAGCTACATTTCTGGCCCCGTTTTATTTTTTTATTTTTGGTACCACAGATCGAACTCATGATCTTGCTTGCGCTTGCAAGGCATGGTGCCACTGAGCCAAGTCCCCAGCCCCCAGTTTTATTTTTTGATTTGAGACAGGGTCTTGCTAAGTCACTAAAGTTGCCCAGGCTGGGCTGGAACTTGTGGCGCTTCTCTCTCAGCCTCCCAGACTGCTAGAACTATAGGTATGGACCACACATTAGGCTTGAATTAACAGTTTTGAATGTCAGTAAGTATATACCCACAATGTCATTTAAAATTTACACAGAGCTCCACTGTGCGTATACTTTAATCAACTACCTGCTGAATTATTATTAGGTTTTTTACTATTTAAAAATGCTAACCTGAGCTGTGGATTTAGCTCAGTGGTTCTACAGCCTGCCTCGCAAGCTCAAGGTCCTGAGTTTGATCCCTGGTACAAAAAAAAAAAAAAAAAAAAAAGTATAGTAAAATTGCTAACTTACTGGCTGTGGTGCTACATGTCTGAATTCTATAACTATGGGTGAGTGAGACAGCTGGATCACAAATTCAAGCCCAGCCTGGGCAACTTAATGATCTAACAAGAACAAGACCCTGCTTAAAATAAAAAGTGAAAAATAAAAGAAGAGCTAGGGATGTGGCTTGGCCTGAAGGCCCTGGTTCAATCATCAGTACCGTTGAAAAGCTATTAAAAACCCTTAAATATACATATGTGTATAGGCATATGTATATCTACCTATGTCCTTAAAAGAAATTCCTGGGCAAAAATTCTGGATCGATATGTACATTCTGATTTTTGATATATACTGATAAACTATCTTCTAGTTGGATCCAATTTATATCCCCACTCTCACTGCCTTTTCCCCATATCCTAACCATATCCTCAATGTTAAATGCAATTCTTGCTAATCTGATAAGAAAAAAAAATTTACTCTTATTTTACTTTTCTTTATTTATTTTTGGTATCAGGAATCGAACTTGGGTCCTTGTGGTTGCAAGGCAGGCGGCGGAACCACTGAGCTAAATCCCTGGCCTCTTGTTTTAATTTAAACTTGTTCATTAAATGTTCCTTTCTCTTGTTATAGGTTATTTTTTTCTTTTATGAATAGAATATAAGTATCATTTGACAATTTAACATGTAGGTTGCAAATAACTTTTCCCAGTTTGTTATATATTTTTCGTTTGTGAGGCTTTTTGCTATTTAGCACTGTTGAATTATTATACAGCAAACAGGTCTTTAGTTTTTAATTTCCATTTTCGATGTCATGTCATTTAATAATCCTAAGGTTACTAAAAAAAAAAACCCAGCAAAATTTGTTCTTAAATATGTAAGGGTATATTTTTTAACTATGTCTATAATCTATGTGCAATGGAGGAATATTTAAAGTTTTCTTAATTTTCTTCTGCATTTATAAATACTCAGTCTTGTTTCTCAAACTGGTAAAACAAGTCCACTTTGTTCATACCTGAAATTCTTGTACACCTGGGTCTATGGGCACACTGAAGTTCCCTTTGACTATTTGTAATTTTATTCTCTATATATTTTGGGGGGAACGTGCTGGGGATTGAAGTCAGGTCTTCACATATGCTAAGTCCATGCTCCACCATTGAGCTATGTCCCAGCCCTGAATACTCTGTAAGGGTAAATCTCACTCTTCCAGTCTATTCTTTTTCAGAATTTATCTGGTGTACCTATGCTTAATCTCTCAGAATTTATGGATCATTTTACCAAGTTACATAAATATTATATTGGAATGTTTTAAAGACTACATTAAACTAACACCGATTTAATGACTTAAGGAGAAATGACAGTTTTGCAACACCGACATTTTCCATCCAAAAATATAATCTTTCCCTTACTCTGGCTTTCTTTTATGATCTTTGAGAAGTATTCTTGCATCTGTATCATGTGGGCTCTATGTAGTTCCAATCAAGATTATTCCTATTTACTTAATATTTTAATTACGAACAGCTGTAATTAAAGTTTTTTCCTTTTCCACCTATGTCTTATTTTATCTTATATATTCATAAAAGCCAGTAATTTGTGTAGATTTTGTAGGTGACTACCTTCCTGATCTCTCATTTTTAAGTCATTCAGATAATTTATGATGTGTTAATAACAATAAATCCTTTTCCTTTCCTAAAGTTAGTATTTATGCAGGTTATGTTTGTTAGTTTTTTCGTTACTCTAATATGTAAAATTTAAAATAAAATCAAATATTTAAAGGGCTTAGAATCCTTTATTATCTTCTTTAAAAGATAAAGGAATTGGTGAAGAAACATTATCTGAATATATATTTTTTTGGTACTGGGGATTGAACTCGGGACCTTGCGCTTGTGAGGCAGGCACCGGAACCACTGAGCTACATCCCCGGCCCCATCTGAATATATTTAAGAATAAAAGCTGGGTGTGGTGGTGCATGTCTGAAATCCCAGCACTCTGGAGGCTGAGGAAGGAGGACTGGACTGTCTTGAGTTCAAGGCCAGCCTGGACTACCTAGTGAACTCAAGGACAGCCTGCACTATACAGCAAGGCACTCTCTCAAAAAACAAAACAAAACAAAAAAATCATATTTTTAGAATGACTCATGTATTACTGGGAATGGTTTTAAGTAATGCCACTGAGTTACTTTCAGGTGCCTGTGATCCCAGCTCTCGGGAGGGGGGAGGCAGGAGGACTGCTGCAAGTTCAAGGCCAGCCTAGATTACATAGTTGGGTGAGGGCCCGCCTCAACTACAAACTGAGACACTGTCTCAAAAAAACAAAAAGAAACAAACAAAAAAAGAGCTACTTTCAGATCTCACAATTTCAAAAGAAAAATGCCCTTTGTTTTTTTTGAGTCTTTTTCCTCATCAAGGAATTAAAAAAAAAAAAATTCATCAATACCCTGAAAACTTTGGGTTCCATTTTTAGATGAGAAAACATAATAGAAAGCTTCTTAGGCAGATCAATGTTGAATCTAAGCTACATATATCAGGCATGTAACATTAGATCAAGTTACATAATTTCTCTTAGCCTACTCTCCCTGTCTACCAAAAGAAAATACCACCACATAGAACATTCAAAACTTAAATGAGATACACCATGTTGCCCGACACAGCAGATACTCAACAAATGACAGTCCAATCTTACTACTGTACTGCCTTCATGAAATCACAGCTTGACTCTTACCTGGGATTTTGCAGTAAGTGCCATAGAATGGTAACCACCCGCCTCCAGATGGATTACCTCTTTACCATCCAGACACTTGACACACAATGGTTGAAGCCTTCAAGAAAAGCATACATATACACAAAGAATTCTCAGCAGGAATCGTTTTTTTCTCAAACTATAGAGAATAAGTGTTTTCAAGTAAAAAGAAATAAAGCACTACAGTAAAAAAAGTTACATATTAAACTGCTCCTAAATATCATACAGTGGTACCTTGGCTCTCTAACACTTCTGTTGGCACATAATTTGGTTCACAAACAGAAGTGTTTGCAAAATTCTGTTTTTGTCTGCAAACTGTGCATTAGGTAACAAACCACAACCACAGCTGTTTCTCCTACACAAACACAAATGTGACCAACTTATCCAAAATCATAGAACAAATTAAGCTTGTGAACTGAGGTACCACACTTTTTGGAGATTTAAATTTAATTTTTGTCTACTTTCTTAGAAGATTTTAATTTAATTTTTGTATATCAATCACTAGTTGACCCCGTAATTCAGAATCTATTAAGAAACGTAAAACTGAATATGAAGACACAACGAAATATAACAATAGAGGAGAGTGAGGTAATTTAAAAAAAATTTTATAGTTGCTTTCACTGTGTTCATAAGAGACATTTATATTCACCTACTGCTTTAGATAATTCCATTTACATGCTTTGAAGCTTCTCAAATCCCTAGTTTGTTATTAAACAAAATGGCAGTTTTTCTCTGATATGCAATGACATAGTTCAATGTTTTTGTTATAGTTACTTTGACAGTGGAAGAGGGATGTCATTTGGGTAAAAACCCTGTTGGCACTTCTGCATAACTTAAAAATTTTAACCATTCGGGGCTGGCAGCATAGCTCAGTGGCACAGAACTTGCCTAGCATGCTCAAGGCCCTGAGTTCAATCCCCAGCACACACACAAAAAAATCATTTACATGTTCCAATGAAGTATCACCTTAATTCTCAACAACACTTTCTGTATGTATTTCAAGATGAATATACCTCAAAGACATGGAAAAGTGCACCGTGGATACTTTAGGAACACATTCAAGACTAAAGGGACAGCTTTTCATCACAGTTAATGGTACAGAGGAATCTGGAGCTAGGTACTAGATTTACTCTAAGAAGAAGTGGACAAGAAGAGACCCAAACGGGACAGGTTCCAGCCCATGCTGATAGGGACCCTCTGGTCGCACTCACCGAGGCAGAACATCGCCGTGGCCCAGCTGCCCCTCCTTCCCTTTCCCCCAGGTCCACACCTCCGTTCTCAGAGAAGGCAGCAGCGCATCAGCTTCCCCGCTGTAGGTCGGGGTCAGAACCACTGTCCTGGTTTTCACCCTTGCAGCCTTTCTTAAGAGTCTGGGAGAAACTGAGGACAAACCAGAGATAGGGTGAACTGGAGAAGATAAAATTTTGATGAACTAAAAATGTTCAAAGAAATATACTAACATGGTATTCTGAAGCATATTCTATAGGTTCTCTACCAAAGTAGGGAGATTTAATGGTCAAATGAGCTTGGGAAACACTCCTTATTGCATTCTTCCTCCCACTACCTCCCCTGCAGAGACTCACACACATTATCAGGCAGAACCGTGCTGACCAGTCCTGTGATTAAAAGCACTGTTTCAATCTGTTTAACCCAGGCCCAATACTAAACATTTGCCTAGCGAATCCTGTTCTAACATTAGTGACCTGTAAAACCTGCATCCTAAAGTACATGCTGAACAAAAGACTACACTAAGCTGACAAATACTTCTCCCACTTCAAAGCAGTTACATGACAAGACTTCCTGGGCCAAGGTCCAAGCTCAAATATACAATGAATAATTATAATAAATGATTCATTTTAAGAAAAAATTTTGAATTTCTATGGTGGGGAACATCTTAGGAAAGGGAAGTATTAAAAAGCTTCTTGGGCTACAGCTGTAGCTCAGTGGTAGTACACTTGCCTCTCCCAAACAAGGCCTCAGGTTCAAACCCCAGTAGCTCTCTCCTCCAAGCTTTTGTATTTTGGTTGCCTATTTCAAATTATTTTGTAGAGAAGTTTTGGGGAATTGACTTTTGGTGAATCCCACATGATGCTCCCATCTTTTGAAAGAATGCTACCATCCTTTGTAGCGTTCAAAATTATACCACCCAACACTATGTATCTTGTACACCAGTTTGTTTGGGAGGGTACAGTTTGATGAAAATTTTCAATGTCACTATGTTGATACAGTTACTCATTAACTTAGTCATTAACTAGCAAGCCATAAGAAAGTGATCACCACTGCCTAAGAGCAACATCTATGGTGAATGTATCATTTATAAGCAGACAAGACCCAAACAGTCCCATTTAAAGCTTCTTCAAGGAGGCATCACAGATAAATTTTAATGACAGGAAAAAGACTACACAAGAAGCTCCTAAATATACTTGAGGTTACTAAGTAAAATTTAAATTCAGGATATAAGTCTACAGGTGGGAATGCGTATTTCATACGGTCTAATGATGTAACAAAAATCAATATTCCACACCTGTGATCCAAAGAGATCTTGAACTGTAATTAAAATGTAAAGGGCATGTAAGAATAAGGAAATTTTAGCACAAGATTCTCCTTCAGATTTATTTATAGAACCTAACTCCTGGTCTGATCAAATGTTTCTCAAAGGTGAGTATGCAGGCTGATCACTGGGGATCTCGTCATGCGTGTTTGATTCACTGGGTTGGGGAGGAGCCTGAGATCCTGCATTTCCCCCGAGTTCCTGGGTGATAGTGATGCTGTTGGTTGTTGAGGGTACTAATGACTTAGAAATGCAGAACAACAGCTACATAATATCCTAGATACAATGGAACACTGCTAGTGGTTTAAGAAAAATGACATTTTCCTCTTCTTTCAGGCTAAGCACAGTGATTCCTTACTTATCTACTGCTCACATCTGCAATTTCATCAATTTTGAGTACAGGTCTCAATCAGGAAATAAGGCTACTGTTACAATCCAGTACAACAAAATACAATTAATAAGGTTATAAGCAGTAGCAGACATCATGAAAAAGTTTAGTTCTGCAGTTATTTTTTGTTTGTTTTTTTTTGTTTTTTTGGTACCGGGGATTGTGCATTTATTTCTAAAGCAAATAAATATGTGACTTTCTTCTTAAACCATTTTAGTAAACCACCATTAAATAAATTTTGACATTTGAATGTCAGCTTTGGTAATTAGAAAATCTAATTTCTTATAATATAGCATGTGATGTTGGGGGTCTCGAGGATTGACCAGAAGTCAACTCATCAAAGCTGGTTCTTTTCTTTTCTTTTTTTTTTGTTATCAGGGATTGAACTCAGGACCTTGCACTTGCAAGGCAGGCACCGGAACCACTGAGCTAAATCCCTGGCCCAAAACTGGTTATTATTTTCTTACCTTGAGACAACAATCCAGGGAGGGAGAGTCTCCGACTGCCTCCTTCTGATTCTTCTTCTCTGATATCCACAAGACTTGAACTTTTCTTTCCTTGCATTGATTCCTGTTTAACTTGTTCTTCTCTGCTGTCTTTTAGACCTTCTGGGCCTATGCAACTACTGCTTGCCTGAGCTCCAGTTTCACAAGGGGCTGTACTATAAAAGTTCATCACTTTCTTAAGAGACAAGGCCCCAGCTTCATAGGTAGCAGCCACTCTCACGCCAACAGCAGATGCACAAGAGACTACCAGGCTATTAAGGGCTGAGGTGCTGGTGGTGGGTGGGCTGTGTGGATTAGGAACTGCTTCTTCTTCAAGAGGCTAAAATATACACACAGAAAAAGAAAGTAAAAAGAGAACTCATATATAACAAGTAATCAATAAAAAGAAAGCTTAACCGTCGTCACTATTTGAATATGGAAATAAAAAATGACAGACATCTTCAACTCCAGCTCCAAAGAATTTCCTCCTCACCAAGGGACTAATATTACATGGAAAGGGCACTCAAAGCAGAGTTCCTTAGCAAAGGCACTTCGTTTTGTTTCTGTGTTGTTTTTCCATAGCACTTAAAAGTAAGTTCCACTTAGGAGGTAGAGGCAGGAGGATCACTGTGCATTCAAGGTTAGTGCTACATAGTGAGTTCAAGCCCACCCTGAACTATAAAGTAAGACCCTGTCTCAAAAAAACAAAACAAGGGCTGGGGATTTAGCTCAGTGGTTTCGCTGCCTGCTGTGTAAGCCGAGGACCTGTACCAAAAACAAACAAACAAATAAACAAAAAAAGTAAGTTCCACCTTCTCTTATAAAATTAAGGACAATTTAAAAAAAAGAAAACAAGCCAGGCATGGCAGTGCACGCCTGTAATCCCAGCACTCCAGAGGCTGAAGGAGGACTGCTACCAGTTCAAGGCCAGCCTGGGCTACACAGTGCGTTCAAGGGTAGCCTGATAGCTTGAACTACATAGCAAGACCCTGTCTTAAAAACAAAACAAAACAAAACAAAAAATAAAACAAACATAAATAAAATTAAGGACAAGAAGCGGGGGAGCAAAGGTGAACTAACAAAAAATACTGGCTTTAATACAAGATGCACTGCAGCAGCCTGGGTACAAGATTTATAAAAATCCAACCTTTACTACTGAACTCTCTCGAGAATTTACATTGGTTGCTACTAAGAAATGGCAGGAAAAAAAAAAGAACTTAAGAAAAGGGGCTTTTCCTAAACTGTTTTGTGAACAGAAATTTAGACACAGGATAGCTGAAAAATAAGATATACTTCTGACCTATTGTCTCTCACATTTTGTTAAGATTCCAGTGTCTGCTGTTTTATCAATGAATTATTCTCCATGACCCAGGAGCTAGACAGGCTGAAAGTTACCTTTGCTCTCATTACCACAGGGGGAAAATGTGATAGGTTAATAATTAAACTGCAGGAAGCAAAGATATATTAGAACGTCAAGAGCCTGCCTGCCTCACAAGAGCAAGGTTCCGAGTTTGAGCCCCGTCCAAAAAAAAACCAAAACCAAAACCAAAAACACCAAGACAATCAAAATGAAGTTTCCTAATACCTTAGTGAAAAATAATTTGAAATATCAGCTAACAGCAGGGATCTTCTGTAACTAGAAAGAAAAAAACCCCTGAAATTTAAGCTAACAAACAGCACTGTTTATTTTTTTTAAGTCATTAAATATACCTAATGAACAAAAAACAGTTTCTGGCATGTAAGCATATTTACAATGAAAAATTTGCTTTTTATTTTTCATTTTTTGTGGTACTGGCCATGGAACCTAGGGCCTTTGCCCTGAGCTATATCCCCAGTCCATCCCCCCACCCTGACTATTTTTTTTTGGTGCCCGGGATCAAACTCAGGACCTTGTGCTTCCGAGGTAGGTGTGGTGCCACTGAGCTAAATCCCTGGCCCAAAAATTTGCTTTTTATTCTACCCAAAGACCCTGAAGGTTACACATATATTCCTTAATTTGTCCTGAATTAAAAACCAAACCAGCCAGGCATAGTGGTGAATATCTGTAATCCCATACCTGTAATCCCAGCACTCGGGAGGCTGAGGCAGAAGGATCTTGAGTTCAAAGCCAGCCTGAGGTACATAGTGAGTTCAAGGCCAGCCTGAACTGCATAGCGAGACTGTCTCAAAAAACTAAAAAAATAAAAACCAAACCGGGGGGTGTGAGGCCTGTAGCTCAGGGTAGAGCTTATACTTAGTATGGCACAGGGTCCTAGGTTCAGTCCTTAGCACCCGAAAACAAACAAGCAAGCAAATAAACAAACCGACATTTGTTTTTAACACTTGCTTCTGATTTCCTTTCTTCCTCTGGTACTGGAGGTCAAACTGAAGAACACTCTACCACTGAGCTACATCCCTAGCCCTTTTTATTCTGAGACTCGGTTTCACAAAGTTGCCCAGGTTGCCCTGAACTGGCAAGCCTTCTCTCAGCCTCTAGAGTAGTTGAGATTATAGGCACCACCCTGCCCAGGCAGATTTTCTTAAAGGAAATACTTACTGATACCTAGTACAGAGTCTAACACATAGCAGGTATTCCATACATTTTGTTGAATTTAATTTTAAATTCAGAAGAGCTATTTCTGTGTAAATGAGTAGTCTGCAGTTAAACAGTCAACAAAACAAAATCATGTAAAACTAAAGATAAATACAATGACCATTTTTTGTGATACAGTTCTCATAACTTATTCAGAACTAACATTACTATTTCTTTTCTTTGTTTATGAAGGCTCATAACAGAAGCTATAACTGTTTTTGAGGTAATTATTTTAAGGAGTTCTTACCATTAGGTTACAAAATTTTACATTATATAAACCTTTAAGTATTGTTTTGAGTCTATTTAACTGTACTTAATTCAGTGTATAAATAAAAACAAAACAAAAAAGACATGACCACCAATTTTGATTAAAGACATAATTGAAACCAGAGAGAATTAATATCCTAAACCACATAAAGTCCTCAGGAGTTGGCTATATAATTGAAATGCTATTTACAAAGACTGAATTAAATGTTATAGAAACATACACTGCCAAAACTAGCATAAATAACAAGAACTTTAAATATTTAACAAGTAAGTCCAAAGGAAAATGCAATTTCAATGACAGTAATTTATCAATCCAATAAACTGTATATAAGAAACTTTTAACTTTAATAAATCAGAAGAATGACTTTTTAACACACTTTTTTATAAGCATGTATAGTCTACAAAACTTTTACATACATTCTCATTGAAGTACTACTTTTGTCTTGTTTAGATTTTTGTATTATCTTTCTTTCTTTGCAGTGCTGGATCAAACCCAGGACCTTAAGCCTGTAAGGCATAATCATCTTATTCTTAATTAAAAATCAAATATCGATGAGATTCAGCACATAGTCTGTGAAATGAAGACCATTTCTAAAAATACTTCCATGTTCTCACTCTGACAGAGTGAACAGAATGAAGAACCAAGAGCTACGTGGCTTCAAAGCCTGAAAAAAGTACCATGGGACTGCTCTGTTATGATTAGGTGTTTCTGCTTAGTTTTCCTAATTTATTCTTTTGATAAAAGCAAAATCAAAAGGCTATGTCACGAGTGAAAAGCAGAAATTATCCTTCAGAAATGATTAAGTAAATTTGTTTTACTGCATGCTACTGGTGAATAGCCTTTGTCTATTTTACCACAAGTTTTCAAAATGAGAATAATTTAGAGCTAGGGATGCAACTTCATAGCTGAGCACTTTTCTGACACAAACAAGCCCTGGGTTTGAGCCCCAACACCATGAAAAAAATTTTTAAAAGGATACAAAAAGTAGTTTTAAAAAACAGAGAAAATATTAACTGTCCTTTCAAATAAAGTCCAGTATTGGGCCGAGGATTTAGCTCAGTGGTTCTGGCACCTGCCTCTGAAGCGCAAGGACCTGAGTTTGATCCTCGATACCAAAAAATAAATAAATAAAGTCCAGTATGGACCACAGGTATAACTGGAAAAAAAAAAAACCCACAAAATGTTTCTAAGTTTCTTTACACGTACTTACAACTGAATGATCTGCTACCCACTACTCTGTGCTGAAGAAGGAACTTTCCAGAAGCTGAAGAAGGTCTAAATATAGATCAGAAATCTTTGTGAATACTGTATATGGTTTTATTATATTAACCTACTTAGAGCCCAACAAAATTTAGTAACTGAGCCACGGAGAAAAACACTAGCAATGCCATGACCAAGCAGGATTCATCCCAGGGATGAAGGGATGGTTCAACATACACAAATCAATAAGTGTAATTCAGTATATTAACAGAGCCAAGGACAAAAACTGTATGATCATCTCAATAAATTCAGAAATGGCATTTGATAAATTCCAACATCCACTCATGATAAAAATCCTACAGAAAACTGGAATAGATGGTCTTTATTTCAACCTGATAAAAAGCCATCTATGACAAACCAACATCCTACTAAATGGACAAAACCTGAAAGCTCTCACTCTAAAATCAGGAACAAGACAAGGATGTCCACTGTCACCACTCTTATTCAATATAGTTCTTGAAACATTAGCCAGAGCATTTAGACAAGAGAAAGAAATAACAGGATTAAGAACAGCAAAGGAAGAAGTTAAATTATCCTTATTTGTCAATGACATGATACTCTACATAGAAGACCTCAAAAACGCCACTAAAAGACTTCTAGATTTAATAACTGGATTCAGCAGCATAGCTGGAAACAAAGTCAATACTGAAAATTCAATAGCATTCCTGTACAAAAATAACAAACTCACTGAGAGAGAAAGTAGGGAAACAACACCTTTCACAATACTATCCAAAAAAATGAAAAACCTAGGAATCAATCTAGCCAAGGAAGTAAAAGACCTTTACATTCAAAACTTCAGTACTCTGAAAAAGGAGATCGAGGAGGGTATCAGAAAATGGAAAGACATCCCTTGTTCTTGGGTAGGAAGACCCAATATAGTGAAAATGGCCATACTTCCAAAACTGTTATACAGATTTAATGCAATCCCAATCAAAATATTGAGAGCATATCTCACAGAATTAGAGAGAACAATCCTAACATTCATTTGGAACCGGAAGAGATCTAGAATAGCAAAAGCAATTCTGGGCAACAAAGGCAAGGCAGGGGCATCACAATCTCTGACTTGAAATTATACTACAAAGCTATTGTGATAAAAACAGCATGGCAAAAACACAGACCTGAGTATCAGTGGAACAGATTAGAAGATGCAGAAACAACTCCAAACATACTGAGCCACCTTTTCTTTGACAATGGAGCCAAATACCTTCACTGGAAGAAAGATAGCCTCTTTTTTAATAAACAGTGCTGGAAAAACTGGCTTTCCACATGCTGAAGATTAAAACTAGACCCAGGGCCGGGGATATAGCTCAGTGGTTCCACCACCTGCCCTGCCATCACAAGGACCCGAGTTCGACCCCCGGTATCAAAAAAAAACCCCCCAAAACAAAAAACTAGACCCATATCTTTCACCATGTGCTAAACTGAAATCAAAATGGATCAAAGAGGGCCGGGGATTTAGCTCAGTGGTGCCACTGCCTGCCTCAAAAGCACAAGGTCCTGAGTTCAATCCCCAGTACCAAAGAAGGAAAAAAAAAGGATCAAAGATCTAAGTATTAAATCAGAAACGCTAAATCTGCTGGAAGATAGGATAAGTAGAACTTCTGAAGACACTGGAGTTTTATGAACAAAATCTTGATCACACAGGAATTATCACAACCAACAACTATGATCTCATCTTATTAAAAAACTTCCACAGCAAGAGAAACCACCAACAGAGTGAAGAGACAAGTCAGACTGGGAAAAAATTTTTGCCACCTGTTCCTCAAACAAAGGACTAATATCTAGAATATATAAAGAACTAAAAAAAACCCAGACCCTCACAAATCTAAAGATCCAACCCAAAAATGGGCATCTGATATGAACAGGCACTTCTCAGATGAAGAAGTAGAAATAGCAAATAAATATATTAAAAAATGTTCAACATCACTGGTCATTCAGGAGATGCAAATTAAAAAACACTGAGATTCTAACTCACTCCAGAAAGAATGGCTATCATCAGGAAATCAACCAATAACAAATGCTGGTGGGGCTCTGGAGAAAAAGGAATCCTTCTCCATTGCTGGTGGGAGTGTGGACTGGTACAACCACTCTGGAGATCAGTGTGGAGATTCCTCAAAAAACTAAAACTAGAGGTTTCCATTCTACCCAGCTATTCCCGTTTTGTAACTTCCCAAAAGAATCAAGTACATCATACCACAGCGACATATACACACTCATGTTTATAGCAGCACAGTTTGTAATAGCTAAATCTTGGAAACTGCCCAAATGCCCATCAGCTAATAAATAGATAAAGACCTTGTGGTTTTTTTATACAATAGAGTAATACTGTCATAAAGGATAAGCTTGAGATGTTTCTAGCTAAATGGATGCATCTTGAGACCATACTCAAGTGAAAAAACACAAGCAAGAAAAAGAAAAGGGATTTTGCAACTTTTAAAACAAGCACAGTATGACATCTTTCAATGTCACATAGGGCCAGAAGTTGAACATAAATTATGATTTTGAAATACAGGTTTTTTCTCATCTAGGCTTGACTCATAAACAGTATACTCAAACTTAGAAAATAAAAAAATACTATCAAGCGTTAAGCATTTCAAAGTTACTAAAGGAAAACTCACAGTTCAACTCCAGAAATACCTTTCTTTACATTACAAAATATACAGCAGATACCTGAGATGGCACTGGCTTCTCACAGCTCTCAGAGTCCTCCCTGACTGAGTGATCAGACAGTTCCTCCAAGTGTTCATGTAGCGCCTGGGTGTCGGGACATGGCAGTGCGCCTCTCTCAGAACCAACTTCAGCCGTTCCCAAGACGTTCTGTTGGCAGGAAATGGCATCGCCACTTGTGATCTGAGAACACCCCATATGCAGGTCAGGGGCAGTGGGCAGGCCAGCTTCCACAACAGTGTTTTCAAACACTCCTCCCTGGCTATCGAGGGGCTCGGTGGAGGGGCTGATGACAGTGCTGGTGCGGCTTTCTGCCTGGGCCTCTGTCAGTGTCACCCCTAACGGGCAACAGTGGCTGTCTGATATAATCACGTGGTCTTCTTTGTCAGTCATTGTAATGAGGAGCTGGCTGCACTGGCTGCATCTTTCGGGGACTGGCTTCAGATCCTGGGAAGGGAGGCACTGCACGAGGGCCAGGCTGTGGAAAGCACCACAGGCCACCTGCAGCACCACACGCCCAGCAAGATGTTCTACCTTTTGCGGTTTTGTCACTGGGAAGGTGGTGGTGATGAGACCCAGCTGACAGCCAGTACCCCATGCCCAAATCTCTCTGCTTATTGACAGTGCCAGGGTGTGCTCCTCACCACATGCCAACTGTAAAATCCTGACTGCCATCAAAGGGCTGGTCTCAGAATCAGAGATGCTGACAGGGCTCGGTTCCGGCACATGCTGCTGGTTGGCGACTGCACACTGGCCTGCAGAGTTCTCACCCCACATGTACACTGCCCCACCTTCCGTCACTGCTCCACTGTGGAAACTCCCTGTTGCCACTGTGACCACGTGATGCCCAGCCAAGGCATTTTCTAGGACAGGGCTGGCTGGACAAACTTCCACAGGCTCGCTCTTCCAGGGAAGGCTCCCAAAGCTGTAGACTTCACCATCTGAAAGTTTAAAAAAAAGAAAAGGAAAAGGAGAGGATTTGTAAATTAACCAGAAATTATATCATTAAACTACAGTCTTCTCTAGATTCAATAAAACAAAATTAAATATTTTTTTTCAAAAGCAACATTTTGGCTCATTTAACAATCAATACTGTAGTCAGAATTTTAAAATTGCAGAAGTACAAATACTTTTAAATGAAGGGTATTGCTCTCTCTGGCCTTACCCTACACATTCCTAGTATAGATCTACTACTAATGGCTCATGTTATAGGCTACCAGAAACAGATTCCAACCACTCAAAGACAAAACAGTAGCTGGATGTGGTGATGCATGCCTGTAATCTCAGCACTCAGGAGGCTGAGGCAGGAGGACTGCCATGAGTTGAAGGCCAGCCTGGACTACATAGTGAGTTCAAGGACAGCCTGAACCACACAGTGAGACCCTGTCTAAAAACAAAAACAAAAATGAACAACAATATATTTCTAACCGCATACTAACTCTTCCAATTGATTATTTCACTAGCAATAGCAGTACTGACCAAAAAAAGAGAAAGATACTTAGATTCCCCCACCTTTTTGCCCCTGACTGCATGAGACACTAGTCAAACTCAACAGAGACCAGGAAACTAGACAATTTCTAGCACTTGGTCAGCACCCTTGAGCTGCCAGGCACAGGTTCTCTCCCAGCCATCTGGTGAGCTACATCCTCCCCAGCCAAGATGAGGTCTGTCCACTTTGACACAACACCAGAGTGCTGCTGAAACGTGAACACTATAGGCTATTTATGTATTTCTGAAGTTTCCCCCCAGTTGTCCTAGCTTTGTAGATTTAATTCCAGATTTAAAAGGTATCTTGTTTATGAAGGGTTTCCTGTAAATAGCTTACTAATGATATCCTGAATATTTTATTGAAAATAATAACAAAATTCTACTTGAGAATTATATATTTTGAAGCCCAAGGTAAGTATTAAATGTAGTTTACATTTTTTTTTTTGGTACTGGAGATCGAACTCGGGACCTTGCGCTTGCGAGGCAGGCGGCGGAACCACTGAGCTACATCCCTGGCCCCAGGAAACCTTTTTAAAAAGTAAACCGCAGTGACCAGTAGCTCTCTCACCCAACCTCGCACACTAGGCATTTATGAGCATTTCCGTCAGCATTCGTTACACCCCCGTTTTCCATACCTTCAGTCAGGAGAACGCCATGCTTCACTCCTAGGGCTGCCTGAACAACAGTCTTTCCTCCCCAGCCCGCCAACCTCTCTGGTGTTATGGAAAAGGATCCTGCCTGCCAGATATGGACCAGGCCTCTTTCTTTGGATCCTTCTGCCTCTGCTGAGCTACAAACATTAAAAAACAAAACAAAACATCAAAAAACACTTAATTCTTTCAGTAATTCAGAGCTGTATCTTTTGTCCTCAATAATTTTCATGAGGCTGTACTATTTAGAAGCAGATAAATGACTAGATCAGAAGCTTAATTAGCACCTACTTTATGCTTTGGTTAAGACACAGCAGCCAAGATGAAACACCTACTTATATAAAAGCTTGTAGGATGATCTAAATCACATGTTACTTCTCTCTATAAAACCTGGGCTATTTTTGGAAGTTTTATAATTTGGCAGCCTTCAGTTTCAAGTTACTAATTTCTCTCATCAGTAACACCTTTTTGAAATACTAAAATTATAACATACTTCAAGTTGAAGTCTTTATTTTAAAATTTTAGTTTATTATTGGTAGATTATTGGATGAGAAAGATATGAGGAAAGAATTGTTTCACTTTAAACTGAGTTTAAATTTATAACTGTAATTTAAAATATTTTTTACGTAACAGAGATATAATTGTACATATTTATGGATTATAGTGTATACTTCAATACATTTATACAATGTGTAATTATCAGATGAACAAATCAGGGTGAAGAGCCTAAGTTATCACTTCCAATATTTACTATTTGGTTTTGTTGGGAGTATTTAAAATCCGACAAAAGCTGTTTTCAAAGACATAATCAGTTGTTGCCATTCACATTACCCTCCTGGGCTACAGGTGATTTAAGATGCCCTTCCCTACCCAGCTGTAACTGCACCTCACACCTGTTAGCTTTTCTCTTCACACTGGCCTTCAAGCTCACTCTTCCCTCCTCTGGCAACCACTATTCTACTCTCTACTTCTATGAGACCAACACTTTAGTTACCACACATGTGAGAACTTGTAAATATGTTGTCTTCCTGTGTATTTCACTTAACAAAATGTCCTCTGGTTCCATCCATGTTGCTACAAATGACAGGACTTCATTCTTCTTTATGGCTGAATATGTCCCACTGTGCACATATACCACGTTTTCTTTACCCATTCATTAATCAGTGGACACCTAGGTTGATCCTGGCTATTGTGAATAGGGCTTCAATAATCCTAGGAGTGTCCGGCATGGTGGTGGCACACCTGTAATCCCAGCACTTGGAAGGCCTTGAAGCAGGAGGATCACTGTGAATTCAAAACCAGCCTTGACTAAGGAGAGTTCAAGGTCAGCCTGAACTACATAGTGAGACCCTGTCTCAAACAAACAAACAAACAAACAAAAACCCTAGGAGTGCAGTTATCTCTTCTACACACTAATGTCCTTTCCTTTGGCTATATACCCCATAGTGAGATTGCTGGATCATATACAGCTCTTTTTCTAGTTTTCTGAGGAACTTCTATACTACTTTCCATTACTTAAGATTTAAGAATTAAATTTGTAATATGTACTTCATGTTTTACTCATGTTCTAGACAAATTCCATCCATCCAATGGCTTTAGTTCAAAGAATGCAAACTAGGGGCGGGGATTTAGCTCAGTGGTTTCTGCTCCCAAGCGCAAGGCCCTGAGTTTGATGCCCGGTACAAAAAAAATAAAATAAAAGAATGCAAACTAAGGCCAGGGATGTGGCAAGCACAAGGTCCTGAGTTCAATCCCTGATACCAACAAAACAAAACAAAACAAAACATCCAACCAATCAAACAAAAAACAAAAAATACAAATGAAACAGCTGCATAATAGTGATCATAAACTGGGCACGGTGGCACATGCCTGTAATCCCAGCACTCACGAGGCTGAGGCAGGAGGATCACTGTGAGTTTGATGCCAGCCTGCACTACATAGTGAGTTCAAAGCCAGCCTGAACTGCATAGCAAGACCCTGTCTCAAAAAAAAAAAAAAAAGATCATTACCTAAATTATTTCCCTTCTAAGAAAAGGGCACATTAAACTGGCATGGTTCTAATCCCCTGTAATCCCAGCACTCTGGGAGGCTAAGGGTCCAGGGCAGCTGAGATAATTTAATACCTTAGTGAGACTCTGTCTCAAAATAAAGCATATAAAAAAGGCTAGGGATGTAGCTAAATGTGGAGGCCTTGGGTTCAATCCTTAGTATCATGAAAAACAAAGATGTAAGAGAGAGAAAAAGACACATTAAGATATTCTGCCCAGACATGGCAGCACATGCCAGTAATCCTAGCTACTCAGGAAGCTGAGGGAAGATCAGAAGTTCAAGACCAGCTCAGGTAATTAAGCAAGACTTTATCTCAAAGAAAAAAATATTAAAAGGGCAGGGGAATATAGCTCAGAACTACCTAGATTCAATCTCCAGTCACAGAGACACAATATTTCTGTGGTTCCTTTACAAAGTTTTCCTTCATGTCACACTGATGGGGTGTATGTGTGTGTCTATTTTTCTTTCTTTTTTTTTTTTGGTACCAGGGATAGAACTCAGGTCCTTGCACTTGCAGAGCAGGTGGCAGAACCACTGAGCTAAATCCCTGGCCCTTTCATTTTCTTTCTTTCTAAACACAGATGCTAAAGTTCTAGAGGCACAGAAAATTTTTGAATACCTAGCAATTTCTTTGGGAGAGGAGGGTTTTGAGACAGGGTCTCACTATGTAGTTCAGGCTGGCCTTGAACTTACTATGTAGGCCACGTGTAGCAATCCTGCCTCAGCTCCCCGAGTGCTGGGATTACATGCATGTGCCACCGTGTTCAGCTAAGCAATGTTCTCTTAAATTAGAATTGGGCATATCCATACTTTTTTGGAAGAGCAACCATGAAGTTAACCTTCATTTTAAGTATCTCCCACGACTATTTTTTTTTGGTTTTGGTTTTCTTTGTTGTTATTCTTTTGGGACAAGGTCTCCCTATGTAGTCCAGGCTGGGCTTGAACTCACAGCGTTCCTCCTACCTTAGCTTCCCCAATGCTGGGATTACAGGTCTGCGCCACCACACCTAGCCCATGACTAATTTTCTAAGGATAGAAGATGATAATTAGTAAGCTTCCTTCTGAAAACCTTAACTTTATGAAAGTTGTCTACAAGAGTTTTAAAATAATGAAATAAAATCAGTACATTTATAAATGTAAGAAACTGGCATTGAAGCTTATCAGTAATCAGCTTCAATATTTTTCTTTATCAAACAACTACAAATGTTACTGTGTGTTCCTATTTAACATCTATCAACAAGAAAATTAAACTGAAGAAATATTATACCCGGGGCCAAGGATTTAGCTCAGTGGTTCCACTGCCTGCCTGGCAAGCGCAAGGTCCTGAGTTTGATCCCCGGTACCAAGAAAAAAAAGAAAGAATTATTATACCCATTTGGAACTATTTATTGTGTTTTCCTAGAATGCCAGAAATGATTTTACCTTCTCTTCTTTGAGTCCATTGGTCAGTGGGTGTACCCCATCACCAACTTATTTCCTCTTTGCAAAAGGGTTATCAAGACCTAAATGGGAAAACACAGGGTAAACACAAAGGGCAATAAAAGAATGTTTTGCTTTTATCCTCTCAGATTAGAGAAGCTGGGGGGAGGCAGCCAGCCCTCTAACAAGTGTACATTCACTCAACAATAAATATGCAGTGAAACTAAACTATTTCATGTTCTGCCTGCTGAAGTCAAATACCTAGACTGAGCCTTCCCACTGAGCTTATAAAAATGCCTTCTGATCATCAAATGTAATGTTGAAGAAGAAAAGACAAACTCTGTTTAGGTTGTACTGGTTGAGGCAATAAATTTATTTTATTATAAATAATGTAGGGGCAGGGATTTAGCTCAGTGGTTCTGGTGCCTGCCTCAAAAGCGCAAGGTCCTGAGTTAGATCACCAGTACCAAAAAAACCCAAACAAACAAACAAACAAAAAAATAATGTAGTTCAATCTGAAAATCATTGTGTTAAATTTAAAAATTACATTCGTATTAGTGGAATTTTTAAATGACTGCAAAATATATAAAGAATTAAGTATCAGTTAACTGAGAAAACTGTCCTAAAAATTTCTGTGGTAATGGATCAGATTCAAGTAATTTTAATTTATATTTTTCAGTAATACACAAAAAACTCCATCATTAAAACAAAGTTTTCTGTTTAGTGGAACTAGCAATATTTTCTCCAAATCAGTCTCAATTCAAGACTAGTAGACTAGCATACCTTATAATCCACAAGGCTGGAAGAAGTTTGATTTTTAAATTAGCTCTTTTTTTTTTCCTTGCCAGGCATGGTGGTGCACACCTATAATCCCAGCACTCAGGAGGCTGAGGCAAGAGGACTGCCACAAGTTCAAGGCCATCTTGGATTACATAGTGAGTTCAAGATCAGCCTGGACTATACAATGAGACCTTGTCTCAAAAAAATACTAAGAAAAACTAAATAAATTAGCTCTTTTAAAATTCACCATTCAAAGGAAAGAACTGCATAAAAAACACCGAACATCATGCCCAATTTAGAAACTCAAATGTTGAATAAAATAAGAGATAGAATATAAAGAAGCAGAAGAAATGATCAATGCATTTCAACTCAGAACTTTACATTTTTGCAGGGGATTTATCTCAGTGACACTAAGCCTGCCTCATAAGTGCAAGTGCAAGGTCCTGAGTTTGATCTCCAATATCAAAGAAAAAAAAAAAAAGAATTTTTTTTTTTTGAGGGGTGGTACTGGGGATTGAACTCGGGACCTACTGCTTGCAAGGCAGGCGGCGGAACCACTGAGCTAAATCCCTGGCTCAGAATTTTATAATTTTAAGGTCACCAAAACTCATGAAAGTGAAAGCAATGAAGTCTTACATGTGTGGTCCATAAAAATATTGGGGTCATGCCGGGCGTGGTGGCATACACCTATATTGCCAGCACTTGGGAGGCTGAGACAGGAGGATTGCCATGAGTTTGAGGCCAGCATGGGCTCCATAGTGAGTTGAAGGCCCGACTGAACTACACAGCCAGACCCTGTCTCAAAAAAAGGAAAAAACCTGGGGCCAAACTGGCATGGTAGTATACACCTATAATCTCAGCACTCACAAGGCTGAGGCAGGAGTATCACAAGGCTACAGCCTTGCTAGGCTACATGGTGAGTCTGAGGCCAGTTTGGGCTATACCATGTCTCAAACAAAAAAAGTAAGGCCAAATTTGTGGGTTTTCTGCAAGCGGACAATGCAAGGCCACTGTGATCCGCCATACCAGCAGGAGTGACCTAAGGTCCATCTGTTTACTCCAGGATGCCTGTGAATTCTTACTGTTTCCCATCTGTGTATTAGGAGGAAATTACTTTTTACCTAATTCTTATTTTAGAAATATTCTGAACCATTCAAAACTGGATGACAGCCGGCGATTTAGCTCAGTGGTTCTGCTGCCTGCCTCAAAAGAGCAAGGTCCCGAGTTTGATCCCCACTACCAAAAAAAAAAAGGAAACACACAAAACTGGATAAGTACTATGTAAACAAAAGATACATTTGAATCAAATAAATGTTATAAATTTAATGAATACAACACTCAAGTGCTACTATGCATTGTGTGTGGCATTAATTAGCTTTATTAAAACATATCTCATGATGTACAGTAAGTCTGCAGCCAGATCTAATCTGTGCTTATCTGTCAGAGATCTTGATTAAATTTCAACGAACCCCTCTGGGAGGAGGTGGAAGTGCACAAGCCCACCTCACTCCTCTCAACAGACTCACCAGATGTACAGTGAACTCTGTCCTATCACCTGATAATCAAAAATGCTGAAAATCTTTTGGTAAAGTGAGTAAAACAACTGTTTATTCTTAGTGTCACATTTTTCAATCATTTTCTTGAAGTTAAATATATACTCCATATTATTTACCACCACCATTCATTTCTTTTAAAGCTCAAATCAAATTAAAACTCTACAGGGGCTGGGGATTTAGCTCAGTGGTTCCACTGCCTGCCTCGCAAGCGGAAGAACCCAAGTTCGATCCCCGGTACCAAAAAAAAAAATCTCTACAAACTGTGGTGCAACTTGTTTTTTACTGATTATATATGGTAGGTAGAATATCAGTCCCCAAAGATGTCCAAGTCCTAAGTGAATGTACTCTCCTGAATGGACATGGTACTCTCAGTTGACTAGGAAGGTTATCCTGGTCATCCAGTTGGGCCAAGATGATCACAAGAGTTCTTCAAAGTGGGAGAGGGAAGCAGAGGGAGAGTCAGAGACAGAGAGGTGATGGCAGAAGTCGGGTCAGAGTTGCTACACGGCTGACTTTGAAAATGGGAGATGATACAGTATGCTAAGCAATATGAGTGGCTTCCAGTGGCTGGAAAGGGAGAGGAAAAGAATTCTTTCCAGTAGCTTGATTAAAAAAAAAAAAGCAGCCGTGCAGAAACCTCAATTTTGGTTTAGTCAAGACCTGCATCAGACTTCTAACCTACAACTCTATGGAAAAATATTTGTGTCTTTTTAAGCCATCAAGCTTGCAGCAAAATTTGTGATAGCAGCAACAGAAAATTCCTGTACTATCGCATAGAATTTTTCTTTATTAACATATTTATAAACCTATTTCACCTTGCTAAAATGCTAGTTCATATGTTAGACTTCTAAGAAGACATGTATGATGGCTAATCCTGATTGTCAATTCAATTAGCTTGAAAAAACCTAGATTAGTGCAACACACTTCTGAGTGTCTTTTGAGTCACAGGGTGTGACCCTGGAGGCTCTACCTGGTCCCTGGCCCCTTCCTCTCTGGCTGTCCCTCTCACTCTGCTTCCTGGATGCTATGATGTGGTCAGCTTTCCTGGCAAGTCCTTCTGTCATGATATTTCAGCCCTGGAGCCAGCCAACTATGGACTGAAACTTCCGAAACTATGAACCAAAATAACCCTTTTCTCTTTTAAGTTGTGTAAGTCAGGTCCTAAGTCCTGGCAAAGAAAAGCTGCCAAGACACCATGCCTGCCTGGAGCCCAAGCAGGACAATGAGAAAGAAATGGCTGCTAAGAAAACGTGACTAAAAAGGAATATTTTGGTAAATGTGGGAAGCTTACAAGATTGTATTTTTTTTTTTTTGGTACTGGGGATCGAACTCGGGTCCTTGTGCTTGCGTAGCAGGCGGCGAAACCACTGAGCTAAATCCCTGGCCCTCAAGATTATATTCTCATAAAAATAAATGAGGGTGGTATTTATCAGCTCCATTTAGTCTAACATTCTTTCTCAATTATGTATTCATACAGAAAAATAAGTAAACCAAAAAAATTTTGTTTTCTAGTATTTTTATGACTGTGTCTTCACAAAATCTGTAAGAGTTACCTCAACTCCTCAAATAACATTTAAACTTCTTTACGTTTTCATTACTTTACATTGTAAATTGTTACAGAATTGCCTAATCAGGGTGTTTCCTCTGGGATTATTTCTTTATGGGCAAACTTTAAGGTCCTTGTTTTACACTGTTGCTTTTCTTTCTTTTTTTTTTTTTTTTGGTACCGGGGATCGAACTCAGGACCTTGCACTTGCGAGGCGGGTGGAGGAACCACTGAGCTAAATCCCCGGCCCTGCTTTTCTTTTATTAATAGGAACTTTCCTCCACCTGTAGTATATGAAGCTGTTTTATATTAACTAGCTCCGATAAAGAAGTTATGTGGTACTGTATAACCAGCACTTACTTGGAGTTAGAAAATGTAGGGGTTGGGCTGGGGATTTAGCTCAGTGGATTCGCCGCCAGCTGCGCAAGCGCAAGGACCCTAGTTCAATCCCTGGTACTAAAAAAAAAGAAAGAAAATGTAGAGGTCCTCTGGCCTTCCTGGCCTCTCCACAGATCAACAGCATCTCACAAAATAAGCAAACTAGGTCCTAGCTCTAGCGAGGCCCTAGAAGGCCTCCTTCTAGCTATTAAATTCTATGTTTTCTAAACCAAAAAGCGCCAGGGATTTAGCTCAGTGGTTCTGCTGCCTTCTTTGCAAGCACAAGGTCCAGAGTTTGATCCCCAGTACCAGAAAAAATAAATAAATGAATAAACCAAAAAGCAAAACTAGATTCACTTTGAAGTACACCACTCTATGCTGTACTTTAAATTATTAGCTCCTTCACAATGAAAAGTAAATTTTCAGATGGCCCTTTCAAACTAAAGGCCAACCTTGACACCACTTTTAGATTCCACTGCATACACACCCTCCTCCTGCCTCACTTAACAAATGAGTTGTTTATATATGTTGAAGGAATGGTTTTAACACCACAATCTGGCTTGGTGTGGTGATGACTGCTTGTAATTCCAGAACTTGGAAGGCTGTAAGATGGCAAGTTCAACACCAGCCTGGGCTACATAGCAATTTCCAGGCCAATCTGGACTACACAGTAAGACCCAGTCTCAAACACACACACACACACACACACACACACACGCACACCGAAAGAGCTATCAACCATGTACAGTTCTATACTACCTTAATCAGAAATCCAAAATCCAAAAAGCTCTGAAAACTAAGCTTTTTTTTGGTGGCCAAATCT